AAGCATTAATTTTGATACAAATCTTCTTTGGAAGCCACTATAGGGCGGAAAAATAGGGCATTTTTTTTAGAATTTCCTCAATTCTGGTGGAATTTCATTATATTTGGGATACATTTCTCTTCGGAACACAAGCTTGACTTTCTGAGATATTTACACATGAACTGCATCTGATATTAGTGCATAAAATATATAAATTTGGTAGATAGGCAAGCGTGTGCTTTATGTTTTCCGAAAGAAAATGTGCTGTAATATTAACGAAAATATGCAAAAAAAAATGCGAAATAACGTAAATTGGCCTATTTTCTGACCTCACTGTGGACCCTGTATATTCTAAATCTTAGAACCAATACTCATTTTGTGGCAGGGGTGACAACAGGTTTTTTATGGATAATCTCTTGGATGATTCTGAAAGACAGCCAAACTTGGGGGACAAATACTGGTCTTACCCTATTTTGTCCTTTGCATGCATGATCGATATTTTTACCTTAATTTACATTTTGTCTGATATATAGGCCTCACTCGAATGTGACAAATCACTAGGGATCCTTTCTCCTCCCTCTGAAATATTGTATATCTTTACAATCAACCCTAAGAAAATATTATTCTAATAACTCCAAAATTAATTTTATTAGTCAAATTAATTCTAATTAAACTGTCAGTGTCTGTGTGTAAATAAGCATGATGTGTATAATCAAATCAATGCAAACAAAATATGCTGCCTCAAAGAGCTACGTTAACTTTATGCATAAAAAGACCCTGTAGAAATATATATGTCAATTGATTAATTAACAATTGATGTTCCATAAATAAGAAACAAATAGATACTTAGTGCTTTAATTTTCTATTAAAACTTCTCCTAACAGTCCACGTCTTTGAGAACTGACTTTATGAAAATTCAATGTTATTATATTGTTACAGATTATCTATAGTTATATTTTCAAGTCTTATCATAAGAAAAAGAATAAATTCATGTATTTATAAGTATATAAATTGTCAAATTTTCGGGACGCCTTGTCCCTTCCTCAGGACAAAGAAAAAAGTTAAAAAGTCATAAGAACAAAGGAAAAAGAGAAACAAAAACAACTAGCACTTTTACTAAACTACTTAACACTAGATATTTACAAACTTAATTACATGTTGAATTGGAAATTTTGAAGAACACTAACAAAGAAAAAATCCGGACCGCTATGAAATGCGTCCGGTCTTTCGGGTATACGCGAGTGAAGTGCGATTTACATAATTGAACGAATTAATTACGCTAATTAATTACGGCAATCAGTAAATCGTACATTGTTTCATTCTCTCAAAATGGCGTAACTTTACTTAATAAAGAATAATGAAAGAAAAATCATACAGTAGGGATATTAAAACATATGAATTATGATTGATTACAAATTTTGAAATATTTAAGGACTTATTATCGGGAAAAAATCAATAACGAAGGCGTAAGCAATACATAGTTATGTGGGTTGTTCGAGAGTTGGTGACGCAAATTAATTGTAGAGTTTACACTAAATTGAGAGAATAATCTTGTTTAGTATGATCAGAAATTGGGTCTAGTTTACGTTCATTCTGGTGAAGTCATTCAATTTGTTAAAACCATTAGGGCGGAATGACTTCAATCTGTGCATCCAGAACTTTTCTTTGCTTTCCTCTGAGCATCTGTCCATCTTGGGTTATGGTCAATCACCACTACTGTCATGTCCTCCCATTTGTGACCCTCAAGGTTGAAATGTTCCCCAACGGGTTCATTGAGTTTTTTGGTCCTGATGGTCGAACGGTGGTTATTGACTCTCCTGCGGAGATCTCCTGTTTCACCAATATACTGTTTGGAGCAAACTTTGCAACTGATGAGATAAATGCAGTTGTCAGTATGACAGGACAAATTTCCTAGTATTTTGTAGCTTGTAGCATGTAACAGGGCTGTTAAAACTGGCTGTATTGTTTAAAAACATCTATTTTGCTGAGAAAGTGCTGCTAGAATCCTACAGTCCCGTCAGTAAAATAATCATTCCACATATTCGCACGAAACCTTACCCTACGTTTCGAATTTTATACATATGAACCGAGATTTTTCGTAAAACCGTGCTTAACTCGGGATTCTAGCAGCACTTTCCATGTTTGCTACAAGGCAAACTTTCCATCTATACAAATATTATGTTATGAAATATCCAGCTTATTGTTGTTCTGTTGCATTATTTTTGTCACGAACAACAGAGGAAAGGCTGACCGGGATACATATAAAGCTGACTGTCTTCGGAAGAGAATATAATCAATAACAATAAATTAGTATACCTGTTTATCTAACTGAACTCCATATGAATTTCACATAATATTCACGATATTTCCTTTTAAACTCCATTTTACGTATCTTTGTACATTTCGTCTTAGCCAAATTCTCTTTACACGACATGGTCGATTCCTATGTTACTTGATGTACACATATGACGTCATCGCTGGTAGATTGTAATCAGGATGACAGATACATCATAACAAAATAAAAACATTTTATTTTTGTGAATGTTTACAAGTTTCTCTTCATTTATCTAGAGTTAAATTACATCTCTAAATACCAATATTACGAAAACTTGTGTTCTAAAATAAAAGTCAACACACTTACTATGACGTCATAATCTAGCACTGATTCAGTCAAGGTAGAATATTTTGTATGCTTCCTTATCACCCCTGCGTAGTGTTAAGTACGAGGGGCGTTCAATAAATAATGTCATTGGGGCTCAGAAAGAAGCAAACGACGCTTTTCCATGATTTAGTCTTCATGATTTCACTTATTAATCTATTTCAATTCAAACACTTGTCCGTAACATTTTTTAACCATTTTCTGATATTTTTTAAATTCATTTTTGGGTATGACCCTTAGTATACTTGAAAATGGCAAATCCAATGATTTCCTGGTCCTGTTTTTTCCTTCTGAAAGGTGTCTTATTCAAGTTTGGAAATAGAAACAAGTCAAAAGATCAAAAATCTGGCAAATTTTGTTAATGTGAAAAACATTAACTTTCTGTTTATCCAGTAAACCCCTTTACTCTTCAGGGCATGCGGTTTAAACGCTGTCATGAAGAAATTCAATGTAGTGGATTCCTGATTCTGGGTCCTTTCAAGCCTTACAAATAATAAATAAAATGTAAAGTGCAGAGAGAGTTTTGATATAAATAATCTACAAACAATTGACATTTTTCAAAATTTAAAGTTCATGGACCAATAAGCACTTTCGATTTAAAATATAGAAAAAAAACATCACGAAATATCTGTCCATTCTTCTTGTTATTCTTGAAGTTCCATTCGGCATATGCTATTACAACATTTTGATAACTGAATTTTTTTTTTAGCAATTCAACAAATGAATAAGCAAACAATTGTTCTTTTCTCTGGAAAACAAGAGTAGTTTGTTTTTGTTAGTTGTTTAGCGTCCTGCTCGAGAGTTTTTCACTTATATGGATTCGAAGACGCCACCTGCAAGAGAGCTGCAATTTTGTCCCATACTCGGCACTATTGCCCACTGAGCATACTCAATGATTTTTTTTTTCATGATTAGGCACCTACATGTATACGTAGCTACTACGACACGGGAACTCGGTTTATACGGTCTCATCTGAAGGAGTGGTCTAAATAACCCACAATGGGATTCAATACATCCAATCATCCAATCAATAATAGAATACATCCAGATATAATGTTTATCTTTTGTATTTGAAAAAGATATTCAGAAAAATACAATGTTATTTCTTCACAACTCAAGTCATGTATCCAAAATTTTATTCCAGGTTCGTTAACCAATCAAAACGTCAGGTATATACAAGAAGATGTTAATACTAAATCACTTTAATAATATACTCCCAAATTTGCAGACGATTTAAATTAAAAAATAACCAAATTTTAGATACATGTAAATCTAGCAAATTACGAATTGCTGAAAATTATACATAATTCTAAACAAACTCCCAGCGGATGAAGGTAATAACAGGACCTTAAGATAAATTATCATGTCCAACAGTCAGTCTTAACACTGCGCCCTTTTGTTGCTTGTCCATCTTAATTGTCCTGTGCAAAAGACTAAGTAAATTTAAAGATGCTGTTCTTCCAAAACATAATACTAATAATATAACTTTCTTATTTTATTCGGGACGACAGGGATATTCTCAACTATATCGAAAACCGCTCTAAGGTGCATGGACACAGATTTGAACTAAAATTTCCTATATAATATAACTACTGATATACTTTAATAGCATTTCACACAAAAATGTTTAAAATTCTTCTCTTTTATCTAAAAGTTATTTATTTAAATTTTAATTTTTTAAAGGGTTTGATTGATACACCTTTGCGCTTTAATTTTTTTTTTACTTTTATTTTTAATATTTAGGAATAGCGGCAATCTTGTTGTGTATAATTAAAAAAAATTGAAACAATAATCCAGAATATTCAAGGTAGAAACGTACATACAAAACATACACACAGTATAATGTCAATCCATGCAGTTGTCATGAGCAGATTTTAACAATTGCACGCACCAAGTGAACAGTAAACATCAACAATAATACAGGTCGTGCCTTGTTTACAAAAACTGTGTACGTTTAACGGTGTGATCTATTTGCTAAACTCTGTATATACATGTAACGCAGAATGAAGTACCCATTCCATAACTTTATTTTATTAATCGACCAAATTGAAGTTTTTTTTGGAAATCAATGACAAATCTTATTTAAAACAAATAGTTCTATGAACAACAAAAAAATGCAACCTTCAAATAGGGCATCCGTGGTAAACAGTTTGTTAGTAGAAGGGGAAGCCATTGTGAGTGATTTGTAAGTAAGCAAACAATACGATTACAAGTTGGTATTGGATTAATCATGTCTAATTTGTGGAAAACACGTGGATTAAAAATGTAAAAAAAAAAAGTACCCAATCTGGAAAATTGGATCAAGAGTGGAAAAAATGAAAATAACATGTTGATATAGTTTATCCTGATTTGGCTGAAAGAGACTGTGTAGCAATGGACTCAAAACGGTGATTATCTGAATTAGTCTTTTGTTCGGCTTTACAATGTTGGCTTTCAAAAACTGTCATATATACAAAAACACATGTCAAATGACCTTGATAAAATATCAGCCTAAACAGCCAAAGTCCTTTATAATAAAAAAAATATTATTTACGCGATTTGAACGAAAATTCTTATGAGAAGTTGTTCGCAAAATTTTCTGTATAGGGTGTCCGAGTCAGTTTTAATCTAACTTTAAATGGAGACCTCTTACTGAGACGACAACATTAAAAAAAATATTTAAATTGATTGTGTGATAATTTTTAATTATGAAAGAAAAAATCCTGACAAAAATATTGATATGTTTTGAAAGGTTGTAGTTTATTTTTTACCTTTATATTTTTAATGATGTTCGTTGAGTTGAAATCAAAGGCAACAAACGGTTAGAAATTAAGTGACATAAATTTAATATAATGGGCAACCTTGCTATGCACACAAATGTAATAATTTTTATTTATTGTTTTAGTGAACAGTAATCATTAACTGGCTCTTGGTCGTCATAATCATTTTGTTCTGCAGCAAAAATATTGGATCCCATATAAGTTCTCCCAGTATTGAGATTACTGTAGTCACTTTCTTCCATTGAAGGATTTATGTTTCCATGGGCATGGTCATAATTTTCATCTACGTCGAGATTTTCCTCCTTTTCAAGCAGATGATTGTATACGTCATTGTTTACGTCATTATTTTCCGTCGAACTTTTTATATCTCCTTCATTGTTTCTGTTCTTTTTTAATTCATGTGAGTGGGCAAAAGGTGACACGTTTACATCTTTTTTCTGAAAATAAAATAATTTAAAATGTATCCAAAAATATTGATTGATGTGATTTTTTTATTCTGAAAAATGAAGATTGAATTTAAAAAGGTAACTCTAGATTTCCAAGTTTAAACTGTATGCTTATATTTAGAGAAAAAAGATAAATTACTGATTCTTGAAATAGGTATAAGAAATAAACAGCATGCTTTAAAAAAAAGGTTCGTTTATTTAATGTAGTAATCAAAATAAGACAATGTATTCTGTGTATGATCAATTCTTTAAAAAAAATTCCTAAAACGCATTTATATTTGAATATTTTAACACAATGTTAAAGCCCGAGATAATAAGCACCACCCTCAGATTTACCTGGTCTGTATCCCCCTGTCAATCAAATGAATTAAGGGAAATCATTGGGTACTTGAAATTGATTGACATTTAGCTACTGGTCCCTGTGTATCTCTCTTCACCTTGTTTGACACGCGTGGACACCATCAAATTAACTTTCGGTCGTCTGATGTTTACCGCTAAATCACTATCGTAATGAGGAAGCCATTTCCATACAAACAATTTTAACTTGATTATAATTGAGTATGATTATCTTCAATGTTACAAACAGTTCATTATAAAATGAAAATGATCTCATAATAGTGTTTCAATACAGCAAATCAAGAGAGTGTACAGACCCTGAGACGTGCTACTACCCAACACGCTCGCTGCACGAACGGTACACGAACGCTACACGGTTTGCACGAAACGCTGCACGGTTTACACGAAACGCTACACGGTTTGCACGAAACGCTACACGGTTTACACGAAACGCTTTGCACGAAAGGCTGCACGGTTTACACGAAATGCTGCATGAAACGCTTTGTACACGTTTCTCACACGCTTTGTGCACGGTTTGGCCTCGGTTTGGATTTTCTACTCGGAATATCTCGGGTATTTTTACCGCTTTATCATGTTAATCGCTCAAAAACCACATAAAGCAGCTGTTTTAATTAAATTTAGTACAGTTGTATTATAAAAAACGATAGAAATATTCAATACTCTGACAGTTGTAATTAATTGATAAATAATTGTCAGTTCGAATTTATTTATTTATTTATCCAACTGTTTAAAAACGAAATGCCGATATCGTGAGTGACTGTTTAATAAAATACAATTTTTATACACAGGTATTAGTTATTCATTTCAATGTAATATTTTTACGAGTATAATTTGATAAATTGATTTAATAAATTGAACACAAATTCGATTTCTCACCGCAGGAATATAAACTCATTGATTTTTAATATTTATTTATTGATTATATTGCATGTGTTTCATTTCCGTAGGCGGATTATTATTTTTTTTTTTGATTTTGATTTTAAATTATAAATTGAATTTGCCTATATACTCTACTAACGATTATTGAAACATTTTAAAGATTTTTGTTTTACGCAAGCATTATCAATAGGAGGGAAACCGGTAAAGGGCGTAAAGGGGGGGGGGGGTTAATGTGATCTATTAATCTATTCTATTCTCTTTCTCTTATCAAATTACATCAGTATACCCATCAAACTGTAAAATCCTTCATTTCAAAACAGGACTAAAAGTATGTTTATATGTGTACATTTATTAATAGTCGCGGCATTTGACTAAACATTCTACATACAATATAGATCGATCTTTATACCGGCATTCAGGTATATTACAAGAAAACTGAAATATCTTAGATGAAATAAAAAGTACGTGATTTATAAAACAAATAATATACAATTATTCATGATTTACATATAAGCTTTTCTTACATGATATTCATATAAAGACTACCATATCAGTTCTGTTTATTTTACTGTTTACGGCTAGAAATTCGGATTTACAAATAAAAGATGAAATCCGCTGATTTATAAGTTGTACCTATCAAATACTTATAGAACCATTTTATTTTTAAAAAATCCAGTCGTAATTTCCAGGTGTCATTAAGCCGTGAACACAACATGTACATGTGCAAAACAGGTTTTCATTTGCAATGCCCTCGGAGCCCGTGATCGCTGTTGTAAATGACCTTGATCACAGTTGAAAGGCGGAAAGAAGATTCCAATACATTTATAAGGGGTGTATCTGCGCATACATTTAACAACGAATTTAAACAAGAATAGAAAATAAAGCATTTAATTAAACTAACATTAAATTGAAAGCTACAACAAAAAATGAAAGACTGAACTGTCTAAGACTAGTAATTTAATTTAACACCCCCCCCCCCCTCACCTCGTTTATAAAGATATGGTCGTCAGTGCACGTGAATTAAAATTATAAAATCCATTTTTTTGACAATAATGAACAACAAGTTTTATGTATTAAAAAGATTTTAAATGACACATCGTTCCAAATGTAAAGACAAGAGCGGAGTCCTGATATATTTTTGATTTAAATTAAAAAAAGAATATTACGGGTATTTCTTTCTTTCTTTGAGAAAAAATGTTTAAGAAGCCACGATCGCGTTGATACATGTAGGATATTGAATACAATGCCCTTAAAGTTGTTGTACATAGCTGATTTATTTGAACACATTTTCTGTAAAAGGAAAAGAAATCAAACAAATATACAGTGGAGCCTCATTTATCCAGATGCTTTGGTTCCTTGTCAATTTGTCCGTATATGTGAAGCGTCCAGATATCTGAATTACCAGTTAAACAAAAACAAATAACATTAAAGAATTCTGTTTTGAGGAAAAGTCGTCCGGATACTGAAGCATCCAGATATCTGGCGTCCGGATATCTGAGGGTCCACTGTAAAAATCATACATTACCGTTTGATTTAATTTTGTTGTTCCATTTTTTTTGTTTTTACTCCTATAATATCACAAGCATAACTAATTCAATTATAAAATACTAATAGAATTTTACATCCTGACCCATCGGTAGCCATATTTAAAATGAAATGACTTCCGAATGAATCTTACACGATTCTTGCACGAAAGTTGCACGTTTCTCACACGGTTCTTACACGAAAGTCGCACGTTTCTCACACGCTTTTCGCACGCTCGCTACACGGTTTGCACGAAACGCTTTGGAGCTTACACGAAACGCTGCACGGTTTACACGAAACGCTACACGGTTTGCACGAAACGGAAAGCGCACGAAAGCCACACGCTTTTTTGGGGTAGTAGCACGTCTCAGGGTCTGTATATTTTTTTCTAATGAAAAGTGTATAGGCGACTGTTTTCAGTCGTAAAATAATTCTTGTTTTGAGACGTGGCGAAAACATTACGGATCATAAAGGAGAAAATAAACTGGTAACATTTTTTGCATGTATTCATGGTATTGGATAGTAATGTTGAAAACAAAATGTTTGATTAGTAACAACTTCGCCTGGACAAGTATTAATTATATTAAGAATTTCTTTCCTTTCTCTTCCTTTTTTATAACCGAGCATTTCTTGCTACGTGGGTTGTTACCTCCGTTCAAGGTCACAGGTGTTAAAAATAGTTTCGACAGAAATACGCAAGTTAGCAATAAATTAATATGTTGTTTTAGTTGTTTAATTATAATCTGAATTTACTTAAAATACATACATATCTGAATGTAATTCTAACTGAACGAAACCATCATTATCGCGAATTTTTCACAATAAGATACAGAATGTACATCTGCTAAAAATAGGACCACGCGACTTTTTCTACAAACGGGAAGTAACTGTTACTATTTGACGTGATCGGAGCTTTAATTGCTAAATATGAAAAGTTTTAAAGATTTTGAAAGGGACAGGCAATGATGACTATTTTACTTTTGAATTTTTACCTGTAATTCATTTTCTTAACAACGAACTCAAGCCATTGCTCCTGTGACATACAATGTACTAAGGTGCATACCGTAGATTTTTTAACAAAAGTCGACCGGTGAGATTTCTGCTTGTATGGTATTAGATATAAGTCGGAAATTATGGAATTTATAAATATCATCAATTATAATTACTTATGAAAATTTTTATTCACGGTGTCGAGATTTATTAATTTAATTAATGATGAACATAAGGCCAACAAGCTGTACAGGTAATAATCATGGACTTCCTGTGTATACTGTTTGTGTATAGGGATTAGCGCTTCCCACGGTCTGTACGACCGTCAATGCATCGGGGTGCCACGCATGTAAAATTTAGTCCCTCCCCTTACCTGAGAAAACCGTACGGTTAAAAATCTCGGCCTTTAAGGACAAAGGTACCAGCGTCAGCAAGAGCTCGGTAAGGGTACGTCATATGGACTTTTATACAACTATGAACTATGTGTTATATTTCAAATTTCTTACCTCATTGAAGCGTTTTTCGAGAGGATTGTTTTGGAGTACATCTATTTCAGTCTCGTAAGTAGCATTATTAAATACTGCTGATCTTGAACATTCTCTATAAAACGTAGAAATGGATTTTGTTATTCAATTAAAATTTCTTACTTTGAAACAACTTTCAAAAATAAAAATTTCAAACGTCGGTTCAAAGAAAAAATGTTTTTACTTAGTTTTAAATTTTCTATATCGAAGACGTTGATAAATGTTTCCAACTACAACAGTTAGGACAATGCCTAAAATAAAGCTTCCAAAAACAGCTCCAATTGTCACACTGACAGCTTCATCGTCTGCAATTAATAAAGCAATCGTAATCCATGATATGTCCATTGTTAGTCATTTGAAACTATGCGTAATCTAATCGTAATCGTATATTTAAGAAAAAAAATTCAGTGGTCAGGTATATCTGATTTCAACTACAGCTTGGTGACACTCTTTTATATTCATATTCAATTTTTATGTTCAGACTGAGTTTGATATTCTTAAAAACAAAAATATACTGACAAAAAAATATAAAAACTCTAGCTGCAAAAAGTCAACTGAGAAACTTTTGAAATATCCTAAAATGGCATACATTAAAGGTTACTGTTTTTAATCTTCTGTTAAGTAAAACATCATTTATTGAACTTGGAATATATCAGGTATATACATAATTAATAGTCTTAATAATAATCACTATTAAGATATTTAATTAAGCATAGATGTTTCTGAATTTATTAATAAATTAAAATATTTTTGTATTTTTCTCTGAATATCGTACATCACAACATTCGATATAAGGCCCATCCAAATACCAAATGTTTTCAAAGTAGAGGACGAAAAGCTTGGTGAAAATTCGCCTGACCTTGAGCTGATCTACATTGTACAACTATTTTGCATGTTCAATGATAGAATCTGCTCAAAATCTCAAAGAAGTTATAGGTCACCAAATTAAAGTAAGGTATCCCAATTTTAAACATAAAGACCTTTGTGTGATATAATTAAACATTAATTCATTAATTTTACAATACAACTCAACAGTATATCATTGAAGGCAGGTAGAAAGTCATTTTACCTTAAGGGTGGGGCTGGGGACTGCCATACGCCTTGAATAATCAGTTAATGCTGAGATAACCTGTGCCACCTTTCAAATTAACTAATGATCTCGTCAAAGCTTTGCTTAGAAACTGTTTCGACTGTGGAGCATCATTTATTGTTCATTCGTCATCGAATAGAATCCGACATTTAACACTTGGTGTCTTTTACAATATAGACATTTTCAAGATAAGCTTCACTTTTGTCTCTAGAAATGTTTTATCTACAATAATCATATAGTTTGAGTTTCAACGTGTGTAATCAGTGACCTAACATTGTTTTAGATAACTCAAGCCACTATATGGCTTGAGTAAAAATATTTATCTGCTACGCTTGTGAGTTAAGGCTACATATGGAAATTTCTATATATCTAATTAAATTCCATAATTGCTCTACCTACCGCACAGGAAATGCTAAGACTTGTTTTCTAATACATTCTTGGTACCCACGACATGCGATAGCCAGTACACATTATGACGTCATATTATGACGTCATCGACCTGTACTACACAAGTTTATAAGAAACATCAACAAAATCGCTTCGGCGCAAGGGCATACCTTACTTTGTTTTACAGAAACAAGGTATCAAAAGACGCAGGATATACCAAGGATTTAAGATATTGCTGCACAAATGTCGGCAGTGCAATTGGTTACTTATTATTCGTGCAGTTTTAAGTTTTAACAGGGAAAAAATCACTGTCCAGGGTAAGTTTCCTAAAATTTTTATCAATTGAGAAAATGCATAGGATTTGTGCAGCAATTTTATTAATTTTAAGAATATTCACCTTAATATTATACATTGTTTATTTTAAATTAGAATAATTCCAATCTTCATTTTATCTATTGATTTCCTGTGTTTTGATTGGACGAGAACACGTTCCAGAAAATTTTTACACATCGATAAATTCTTTCAATCAGAACTACTTTCTTGACTGTTGTAAAAACAATGAAAACAGATACTTCTAGTCCGTTTTAGCTAAATTATGATTACAAGAAACTTATAAAAAATGAATAAATGAATGAAAAGGAGATGAACAGGACTGACAGACGGGAATATTATGTTTATGTCATTGTCGGATCACGAGTGTGAAATATTTTGAAACCGCTGATCATGCTGTCATTTTCTCGACGTTCCATATCAACTCTTTTGTTATCGTTATGTGATAGGGAGAAGAAACATACCTCAGACTCTTGCCTTTTCAGCATCAAATCATATTTTTACATCCTACAGATCCCATATTCTCCCTAAATCTTTGAACGAACCAGAGAAAATCGAGGACGTCGTCGGTCTTCAACTTTCGTCATGACGTCAACATGGCGAAGTCAAGGACGAATTTGGCCTATTTTGGAGAATTAATTCGCGTATTTACGATATTTGTTGACTTAAACAACATTCAATGAGTTTTTATAAGTTTAATTTATAGATTGTTTTGACAAAAAAAGTTGGATTTTATCAATATTCATCTTGTATACGTTTCTTTGCGGCATAAAGTATTCCTACGCCGTACAAAATAACAGATTGTATGGCGGCCTCAAAGAGAAATAATTTTAACAATTTAAAAAAAAAATCGTAATATTGGAATTATAAGAATTAAACGTTCTTTTTTCAGAATTTATCGATGTGTAAACTCTGCCTTTTTACTCACAAACTTTACATAAAAGTGCTTCGCACTTTTATTCAGTTTGTGAGTAAAAAGGCAGAGTTTACACATCGATAAATTCTGAAAAAAGAACGTTTAATCCTATATAGGATAGGCCCTTGCGCCGACGCAATTTTGTTTATATGATTCATTAGCTTGAATGGGAGAGAACAATGACGTCATAATATGACGTCATAATGTGCACTTGCATTAATAAATTGTGGGTACTGAGTATGTTTCAGAAAATCAATTTAAACCTTCTCTGTACAAAAATATACAAATTAAGAATTTTCATTAGCTTATTTGCATAAAAATATCCATATTTAGCCTTAACTCACTTGCGTATAGGCAAAAATTATCAAAGTAATCTCACATATATAAAACAAGCATAAATGTAGTCATTTTACTTCAATCAAAAAGTATTGTAAGTATAATACAGGAATTAAAAATACCTTTCTTGTCCTGGATAAATGCTTGTAAATTCCCATCTAAGACCGCTGTAAGCAGTAACAAAATTATTTTTAGAATTATACTAGTCTGTGCAACATTACTTAGAAGACGTCTTTAGGTGCAATAATGTAGACCTTTCTTTTGTGTTTGTGTGTGTGGGGGGGGGGGGACTAAAACTCGATAGGATATCCGTTATTGCGCATAGACGGAAGTGATTCACTCCTGCATACATTTCAAATAAAATATTTATTTACATGTAGTAAATTGCTTTTATATTAATACAGGTGTATGTCTTACCTGAATTCCAGAAATGTAGTTATGCAAGACATAAATATAATTATCAAAAATAATACAGAACAAGAAAATTTTTATTATCCATTGAATATGGTAGATATCGACATCACAACTAGAATTTATCTGCTATTTTTAGGGGGAGAGGGCTTGATCAATGTTATTGGTCGGTCAATATACTTCGGATATATTAAGATATAAGTAGCGAATTGATTTTGGAATTTTTCTTATTAAAAACATTTAATGGTTTCATCTATCAATCTTTAATGATACAATACAACATGTTCATTTATCAACACATGCATTTGCTTTATCGAGTTACATGTATTATAAACTTAAAACGTCAATACATCACTAAATTTCATAGCTGCTTTGGAGCACCCTGGTCAACAGATTTATTTAACTTGGTTTTTGCGTTCAAAGAACTATGTTGTTGATATCGAATTCAAATCTAAATTAAAAGTGTGTTGAATGTAAAATCAATTAATTTATATGGCCTTAGTAGCTGCAGTCGCCTTTATGTACAAATATGCATCTATTAGCACAATTATAGAGATTCTGTAAATGGTAGTACTCTCCATAAAATATTAGATAAAAATTCTTGCTACTAAGAGCTCTTATGAGCATACACATGTTATTTGCATGGTTCTACAATTTTGAAATTAACACTTTGAATAACACAATCCCTTTTGCAATAGCCGAAAAAAGTTTGTATTTCCTTTATCACGTTGTTTTAATACATTGTATATACTAGACAATTATCTATCTGGTGTGCTAATTTTCAATTTTAGTTAATTTAATTACAATAACAACAAAATGATAAACAAATGAACATTGTCTATGAAATATTTAAATAACATATTGATAAACTTACGCTCTGAATCATTTAATGGGACAACTCCAGGCTTACAGACACACGTATTATTCTGACAAATAGAACCAAAAACCGTTGAACACTGATCATCTCGCTGGCACGTTTCGTTCACTTTCAAATTCCCTGATTAACAAGAATAACGTTTCTTCAATAAATTAAGCGCAACAACTACTTTTCTTAAAACGCCTAAAGACGGAAAAGTGGTTGTATATTAGATTTTGTGTAGAATTGATAACAAGAAACTCGCTAAAACAATAACTGTCACTGTGCTTGAAATTTTCTCACTCCTAACAAAAGGGTTATATAATTATTATTATGGTTAATCAATATATTAACGTAATTTTTTTATATAAAAATATGCTGTTCACATACATGTACTTCTACTAGATAACATTTTTAAAATAAATATTAATTGCATTAAACAATACTTGCTTAACAATTACATGAACATAGCACAATCTTTAGTAACTCCTTCCTGCCAATCAAAATCATCTAAATAATAAACCACACTGTCGCTTTTGGCCCGCTGATTAAGTACCTATAAAGATTTTTTTTAAGTTGCAAAAATTAATGAAAATTTTTATATTTCAAACTTCGAAAAGCTCATTGAATTTCCAAAGAGCAAAGATTGGTCCACAAATATCATTCTCTAAATTTTGTAAACTAATAAATGAAAATTCTATGTGTGAATTTGAAATAACTTTAATATCTTTCAATGTCTATTCGATGAACTAGTGCATCTTGATCATATTTTGCTAGCATGTATCTAGATACTCTAAAGACAAGTAATTAAACGAGCATTATTCCTCTACTACAGTTAACCATAAAAAATTATAGTTAACTGTATTATCTACATGTACATATAACCCTAGAAAAAATTTAATTGAATCAATCACTTTTTGATAATTTCTCGTTCTTAAAGTTATAAATTACTGTTTAGTGATATGTAAAACTTACAAAGTTTTGAATCCGTTTTGCAATTTATTTCTAAAGACCTCCTTTCTCTATATACAAAGCCACATTCCCTTTGGATTGCCACTGAATCCTCGATCAAGCCATTGATACTCAGATCTATAGATGACAATCGATATGTGACTGTCAAACTCCATTTCTTTTCCTCTAAGTTGTTTATTTTTACGTGACATTTTCGGGGACAGACACTTTTGTCTGGAAATAAATCAAAATCAGAGTTGATAATTATAAAATGATTGTACATTATTAATAAATTATATTTATCATATTTTTTTCAACACAGTAAAACATGTATGAGAAGAGGGATGAAAACAGTGATTGGATTTTTAAAATCTGTATAAACACTGACCCTTAATATTGGAGTCATAGGTTGGATAAAGTACCTTGGAAGAGTAAACATCCCATCTCAACTGGAGACATCCGTAATGAGCCTTAACTTATGTATTGATCAAGTAAACGAAACATCCTGTCGTCAAAATCAGTATAAAAATAATACCTTACAGAAGGCGAATTATCAAAAACATTCGATTCTCATAGTCTTCATTAATTTATCTAACTTGTGTTATCGAATAGTGTGTTATAAACAATTCTATACCATTTGCCTAGACAAGTTTTCCTACGGATTTGATGTTACCTTTATTAAATTTTGCTTCTTTGCTTTAGGTGCGAAAGAGACTGAAACAAAACGGGGCAATAATAAATTTCCATCATACCATAACCAACAGGAAAACATAGATTTAGCCATAAATTGTAGCCCGGGAGAATTGAAGTTAGCAATCTCTCATTGGAATAAGTCTTGATCATCAAACCGCTGTGATTTGTTGATAAAGACATGCGTCTGAATGATGGAGACTAATGCTACGTTTACACTATGTTCCCGGCAGCCACGGCAATCACGTTTCAGGCCACCGTGGAAAAAACGGGACGGGCGTGAGAAAACTTGGGGCAACGGGATGGGCAAACGTAACTCATCGCGATTGCCGTGGATGCCGTGCCAGATTTTTAAACTGTCAAAAAATTTGCCACGGCGGCCACGTTGCAGATGTGAAACTTGGTAGGTCGTAGTAAAACGGAATAAACGCAACAAAACGCGACAGCACGTAACAGACCGTAACAGAAATTGGAGGCAGTCCGCAGTGGGACGGGAGAATGTATATATTTCCATTCATCTCACGGTCCATTCACGTTTTGAGACGTTTTGCTGAGTTTAATTTGCGTTCTGTCACGGCTAGTTCGCGGTTGTTGTCCGTTTATTCAGGTTCTGCCACGTTTCATCACGGTCCTCACGGCAAACTAGGGTGTATGGTTGCCGTTTCCTCGCGTTCAATCGCGGTTCGTCCCGACATGTTACGGTTTATGGTCCCGGTGCGTTGCGTTCTACTAAGGTCTGACGCGGCGCACGCGGTCTGATGGGAAGCATATAATTGCTGGGCACTGCAGAGAAGTTTCATTATGGATCCATATGGATCTCCGCCTTCTCATCCGTCTTATTTGTCTCATTCCTAGTTGCTGCACCCCTGCCTTCCCTCTCTGTAACTGCTGCTGGTTCTCTTCATTTTGACGAAGTGATTTTTTTGTATGCACCCAGCAAACACGCGAAAATAAAATCATTGTCTTGGGAATTCATGATGCTTTATCTTCGAAGGGTCATGATACGATGGTTGTTTCTGGTTAAGAGACGCTCTCTGATACAAACGTGATCCATAGTTTCCTAGCGTCCATGTTTCATACGTAGAAAGACTTGACAGAACGTGAGAAACGTATAAAAACTTCATAAGAACGCGAGAAACGAGAGGGGACCTATCAGAACGTAAGAGGTCTGGGGGGAACGTGCTGACATACGTGGCAGAACCCTAGTGTGCCGTGCAGCCTCTGGCACTCCACGGCAAGTTCCTCCTACGGCCCATCACGGATTCCGTAGAAGACCGTAGAAGACCGCAAAAGAACTTGTCAAGACTTGGATATAGAGGGAAAAATAACCAAAATCTCACGGCGCACTACGTTTCGGGCAAACGGGGCTGCCGTGGCTGCCGGGAACATAATGTAAACGTAGCATAAAGTGCTGCAGATTTACGGAAAGGTTCTAGTCGTAGGCAAATCGAGCAAAATTAAAAGATACCCTTTTAACTTTATCAATTCTTTAAGTAACTGTTGGCTGCATAAAATATAATTTTAAATCAGACACCTGGATCCTGGATACATATATTTGAAGATGTACTTCATGGCATTTAATATGTTGTGTATATCCCAATTTAAAGAGGGAAAGAACATTCTGATGTTAATCTTTTTCATATATGGTAAACCTTTAGATCTGAATAACTCCTTCCACCTCAATCCTCATCCATCAAAGCTAAAACTTATGTATATAGAGCGTCCCTCTTGGCGGAGTTAATTTCTTCATTTATTTTTTAACAGAATATATTTTTTTTAATAAAAATGCAACAGCGTTTCTTACCTCCTTCAAGCCTTTGTTTAGCTTCTGCCAACGTAAACTTGCATCCTTTATCTCCAAATGCAAAATCTAACAGCTTTTCAAGGCAAATATCACTTAAAAGTAAATAATTCTTCATAACTATTTTCATCATTTTATGTAAGTATGTAACAAAAATTCTGTTAAAATATCGATCAATTTTAGTAAATGATATTGGAGGATTTGTGGATAATAAGAGATTGTAACCTTTTATTGTTAAAGAGATAAAACAGGTGTCAATGTTTTGCTTAGGAGAACTCGAAATATGTGTGGGACTAAAAAAAAACAAGATGTGTTTGTAAAACACTGATGCCCCCGTATGGCAACATAGCAAAGATTAAGCTTTTCTTAAATGCAAATTTAATTAAATTTAATTAATTCGTACAAAAAAGGGTATTCTCACTGGAAAACAATTGTGAAATTTGAAAGTAAGCTAATGTTGAAGTTTTTTAATGAGTACAAAAATCTCCAAGGTCAGTGTAATTAGTATCAAATGAAAGGTCTTGCCACATAAAATACTTATGTAGAGCATGAAAGTCCTAGCCCTTATCGTTCAGAAGTTATGGTCAACGTTCAATTTCTTGAAAAGTAGGTCAAACTCAAAGGTCAAGATCAAAGTTATTGTTATCAAATGAAAGGTCTTGTCATAAGGATCAAATATGTAAAGTATGAAAGCACTAGCCCTGAGTCTTTAAAAGTTATGGTCAAGGTTTGCTTTTTTTAAGTAGGTCAAATGTATAAATGTCCTGGTAACAACTGTTCAAAAGATATTGCCAAAGTAAAATTTTAAAATTTTTCTTAAAAAGTACGTCAAACTCCAAGATCAAGGTCATAGTGTCAAAGTTATTGTTATCAAATGAAAGTTCTTGTCATAAGGATCAAATATGTAGAGTATGAAAGCACTAGCCTTTAGTCTTTAAAAGTTATGGTCAAGGTTTGCTTTTTTTAAGTAGGTCCATCTTAAAGGTCAAGGTCAAAGGGTCAAGAATCTTCATATCCAATGAAAGGTCTTCTCACAAGGATTGCATATATGAAGTATGAAAGCCCTATCCCTTACTGTTCCAAAGTTATGGCCAAGGTTAAAGTTTTTTCACAAATACGGAAATCCACAAGGCCAAGGTCAAAGGGTCAAGATTGTTGGTGTCCAGTGAAAGGTCTTTTTACAAACATTACATATGTAAAGTATAAATGTCCTGGTGTCTACTGTTCAAAAGATATGTCCAAAGTAAAATTTTGAAATTTTCATATAAAAGTAGGTCAAACTCCAAGGTCAAGGTAAAAAGGTCAAATTTGGTAGTACCCAAAGAAAGGTCTTGTCACAATGAATACACGTATGAAATATGAAAGTCATAGCTCCACTTAATCAAAAGTTATAGGCAAGGTTAAAATTTTTGCGGACAAACAGACAAACAGAGAGACAGACAGACACGACAAAAACTATATACCCCCGAAACTTCGTTTACGGGGGCATAATAAGAGGTACAGACTGATGTCATGTAACAATTATCCTTTGACTAATTGAGCGGCTGTTGAATAGTTAAGGGAAAACACTCTCTCCCCTGGCCCGAGGAGGGGATATATTCATTAAACTTTTTGACAATATCCAGGTTTTTATCTTCCTTTAAAAATCTTCCTACTCTGGGCCTCAAAGACATACATGTATTTACTTATTCATATATCCATCTTTGCTGTAATTCTTTAGAATAATGCTCATTCATACATATAGGGACACAATATAATAGCTTAATCGAAAACCCGTTTTAATCATGGACTATAGTGGGCATGTGCATGGTGCAAATGCTGTTTCAAACCTTTTAAGTATAATAATTAACATTCATTAAATCAGAAAGAGATATTTTCAAGTCCAATGCATATAGATAGGTTCAGATGGTGTTTTGATATTTTTGTCCTCAAGCAAAAGAAAACTTTTTAAAAAATCTTTAAAAATTGGAAAATTAATCACCATTACATATAAGATGGTGATTTGATTCGGGAAAAAGGTTTGGAGTTGGTATTATGCGGAACCTGCTTTAAAATTTTTCATGTACGGTTTGATAAATGCAAAAAAAAAAATTTCGTGTGCATTTGAAATTCAGATTGTGTGATAAATTCCGAGTTATTATTTTTTGTGCAAAGGAAATAAATTTCAAAACTCTTTTATCTCTTTTGTTCATTGCTTATTATATTTTATGTTCCTCAGTTGGATATGCAGCTATCCAACCGATGGCCAGTTGGATCTTTAATCTAATCTGACTGATCTAATATCCAATTAGTGATGTTTGAATCGGTAAAAAACATGTAGACTAACAATAGGTGACATCATATTTTTTGAATTGCAGATAAGAGATATGTATCCAAAAGCATAACAGATGAACGGACGGGCATCGCGATCACAACACATTCAGAGTCTACCAAATGAATGTTTTTTCTTGAGTCAGGAGGGACAAAAACTTTTCAAAGATGGATTAAGGCCATTATATTATTATACGTCTTATCTTTATTGATCTTTTCGTTATTGTTTCTGCCTACAATTTTGTATACATACCTGCTTATGTTGTATGCAGAATAACCATAATGAAATATCAAAGAGGTAAACAACCCTGAAAATTAATGTATGTTTTTAAAACTGTTTTTTTAAACAATGTAATGCTTAAGGAAAAATAAGATAATATCTTTAAACTTTACTTTTTATACGAATTGTAAGTACATTCTATAGAGGACTTTTATATAGGCAGTGCCTGCTGTCCAACCCTATTATGTTTATTCATAATAAAATATTGAGTAAATTAAAAATTCCATACAGTGATATTTTCAAAGTGATTTTTTTTTCTAATACTAGTACCAGTCAAATTCTATAAACACATAACAAATAGACAGCATACACTATGTTTATAACAGATTTACTGAAATCAATGCTCATAGTATTAAATTTTATACAATTATGAAACAATATCATACGAGTTTGTTTATGGACATTCTGAACATGTGGGGATGCATCAAGAGTCAACAGTCAGAATTCAGATGTTTTAAAAATCATTTCATAGAATGCGTCATCCATATACCAGTGCAATCTTTAACCTCTGTAGTAAAACATTAAACATGACTGTAGAGATAAAGAGGAGTATATAACATCAAAAGTTCATAAAACAGTACAAAACGGGAGCAGAGCAAACACGGACATCCAAAACATCAGAAGTGGGATTGGGTGCCATGCATTTTTTCGAGTTTATTACAAAATAGTTATCTACCCTAACAAAAAAGCACTATAGTTAACTATAGTTTACTATAGTTAACTATAGTAAATCAAAGTTTTCACTTTAGTAAATCAAAGTATTTTTACTATGAATTTCAGATAGATATATTTTATTTTGTAATTTCCTAGAAATACTTTTCTTGAATTAAAATGAAGTATTCCTTGTACATTTACATATTTAATCAAATAAGTATATTATAAGTATGTAATTTAAAATATATTAAGGCTTTAAATCTTCAAAATAGTTCTAGAGTAAAGTTTCATAGTAAATCAAAGTGTCAAAGTTTTCACGATAGTTAACTATAGTAAACTATAGAGAATTTTTCTTAGGGTAATAGCAAAAATAAATGCATTTACTCACATTCAATAACATACTTCCATTTTGTCATTTTTCATCAAAACAAACAACTTCCGGGTGTAAAATTCCTTATAAGTGTGGATTAGGTTAAGTATAGCACTTTAAATATAGAGTACTTGTCATGTTATTAAGGTTTAAATACCGCGTGGAATGTTCCCAATTATCACCGAGTTTGCTGCAAATACAAGGCGCTATATATTCTTAACTCTCTAAAAGTTGTGAATAGAAATGACGTCTATTTGTGAATATTTTTAACTATTTGAGTATAATGTGACTCGTGAAAAGTGATTATTGAGTGCAAAAAAAAAAAAATTAACATTGATGTTACGTAGTTAATCTTGGGGAAACACTGTAATACAATTGTATATATGTATATGAATAAAGATATTTTATCTCGTTTCACGGAATTCTTGTCTGTTGGACTGAAATTTTAAGCATGGAGAAGCGTTAATTCTAGTATACTTGTACAAGCTTACAATTCATAAGTTAGTCAGATAATGTTTAGATGTAACGCATTCGCAGAGTAGATCTGTTTTTTTGCGAATGTGTTGTATATAAGTTGATTTTTATCGCATGAAGACGCATTGTATGATGTGTGAACTTTTTTCTATTTAAGCAACATCGGCACCAAAACTAAGATATGATTCTGAAATAGTGTTATTTATTGAAAAGACTATTGTTATACCTTTAGAAATTTGTTCCTATACAATTCTATACGAAAAAAATTCGAACATTTTTAATGTGTTGCTGAGCGGGCATAAAAAAATCGATGTTGGACCGCTGAGTGAGATGTTGGACCGCTCGGAGAGATGTTGGACCGCTTACGTCACAGAGTGGGCGGAGCTTAATCTCATTTTCATTCGCTGGTGTTAAACAGTGATAGATCTGGTGTTACATCACGGAATAAAGTACAAAATACATGTAAAAAAAAAAATAAATAAAATGAAAGGTATAACAAAACATTTATTGACAGAGTTCTCGGGCAAAATGCGTTTTGTCGAACCCTCGAACCAAACTGTCTGACTTCGGCCTAACGGCCTCAGGCGGACAGTTTGGTTCTTGGGTCCGACAAAACGCATGTTGCCCTCGAACTCAGTCAATAAATGTATAGTATTTACTTCTTAAATGTCACAGTATTGATATTCATTTAGGTTTTAAGAAAAAAAATTGTTGCGTTTATGGAAAAAAAAGACTTCTTATCTAGCTCAGATATATAGTTTAGAATTGAGAATACAGAAAATCCGTACTTCCAAAGGATCCGGTGTGATCTGGTGCCATAGTGGAGCATATTTTCCCTGCAATCGATAACACCAGCAGTGACCCGTATATCTAAATCACATAAGCAAGGAAACAGGAATAAAAATAATGACCCAATAATTTCATGAAATACAAGTGGTTAAGAAAGGACATACCTTGCAAAAAGTTGTTTTTAAACAATTAAACTATACACAACTATTGTTTAACCATAAAAAATTTTGTTTCTACACAAATCTTTATCAAAAAGTCTAACATTTCTAATGTGTTGTGAGCGGCATAAAAATAATCGATGTTGGACCGCTGAGTGAAGATGTTGGACCGCTTATGTCACAGAATGGGCGGAGTTTATCGCAATTTCATTTCCTGGTGTTCAAAAATAACAGACCTGAGGTTTCATCCCGGATGACAATACAGATAACTTGTATGTCGAAACAAAACAATATAACAAAATATTTATTGACTATGTTTTTAGGAAAAATGCGTTTTGTGAACACTTAAACCAAACTGTCTGCCTTCGGCCTAGGGCCTCAGGCGGACAGTTTGGTTCGTGGGTCCGACAAAACGTATGTTGCCCTCTATATCAATCAATAAATGTAAAGTGTTATACTGTTTGATACATTTTAAATATAAACAAATTTGTAGGTAGCTTGTTCAGGTATGTCTTGGCATAGAAAATTATCGTTGTAAAATCGTTCGTGAGTGGAATTCTTAAGGATATACCAGTGGTATATAAGTCTTTTAATGAAATTAAAGATGTGAAGAGTGAAACTTGTCGATTGATCGATTGTTACATCCATATGTGTAGATAGTGAGGAAGGAAGTGTTTAAATCAAAAAATAGTTTGAATCTGTTTTAACAACTGATGTAAGGTAAAGAGATAAATAGTGTCCTTAGAAAAAATGTGAACTTAAATACTGTACTTATAAGAGTAAAGAAACAGGAAAAATTAGCGACTCACTTACATAAAGGGTTTTTTTGCATCACTGATCAATATAATAGGTAGGCAATTTAACAAAAATAAATTAGACATGAAAAAATATTTTTTTCATAAAAAAGAGTTCCTTGAAAAAACATGATCACCAGACGACATTTTCAAGCGGAGACTTACCTCTTGCGTAATTTGATGGCTTCTAATTGAATTTGATCTAGTCAGGTTTCAGTTTACATACGAACACTGTTAAACATGAATATAAATCAACTGGGATGTCAAAATTGTCAATAATTGATATTCGAATATTCGATAGGAGTATTCCAAAATATTCGAATATTCGATAAAATAAATACATCTTGCATTATTAAATATGTATCTTCACTCTCCTCTCAAACGGTATATGTTTAATTTCTGCCATTATTATGGAATAAAAACTCATGTAAAGTTCGAAAAATGCACTACAATTATGTATTTTTTTTATTATTGAACAGTATACGTCCAAAATGTAACGATTGCTTCTTTTCTTTTAGAAAATTCAAAAGTTTCTTTAGTATATTCAAGATGAATTGGTCGTCTTACTAAAGTCTACACTGATAACTCCTACAAATTTATGCCAAGCAGAACAATTATCTAATGTGAAATATTAAAAGCAATTACTTTTTGATAATAATAACCTCCTGATAATGATTTTCAATGATATTTAGATAATCAAGAAGTCTGTGTGTTCACTGTAAAACTCGGTCCTTTCAACAATACAAGCTGATTGTTAGTACTGGACACTATTATACCACTACTTAAATAAATTATTCTTAGATACACACTTCACACCTTTAAGGTAATCTAAGAGGAATGTATTTTTTTTTAGTTTGAACAAAATTGAATCAATTTCTATTAAAACCCGCCAGGGTTTTCTCTCTTTTTAATGTTTGTATACTTAAAAACGAATATTCAAATCATGAATTTATATTCCAATATCAACTCATCGAATGAATATTCGAATATTCGTTGATATCCCTTGATTTAATCAAGTATATCTGATGCAATGAATGCCAGCTTAAGTTAATTGTATACAAAATGTTAATGCTGATATAACGTCATTCAGCATCCGACTTAATGGTAGACTGACTTGCTGACAATGTCATTGAAAAAAAAACATAGAATTTGCAAAGTGACGACGTGATATCCTTCTTTCATTAACTTGATTGTTAATATTTTTTCTATTTATCAAATATTCCTCGTACATAGAGGGAGCTCTAATGTATTGAATTAATTGAAAAATATAAACCTCACTAACGATAGAAAATAGTAGAGTCATCAGGTTAATCATGAAGTACGTTAGGTTATTAGGTTATCATTTAAGACTATTTGTTGTAAAATATGAAAGGTATGAAATAGATGTATCACATACTTTGGTTTCTTTTATTTCAAGATAACAGGAATTTCATATTTACTCCAAGAAATATTACGTCAATTTCGTGCATGTATCTTGATCACCTTCCATTTTCACTAAAGTTATGTTTTGTAAAGATGTTTTCAAATGAATGCAAAATCAAAATAGATTTGCAGACGCGGACTGAACTAGTACTATTTACTGTTATTTTTGAAACAGATTAAGGTCAAACGAGACGTTCCTCAAAATTTGTTTTGTATATCTTCGTAATATATGAAAAATATGCAAAATTATCATAACATTCTGATTTCTAAACCAGTTTCTAGACGTTTTTAAAAAAAATCAAACACTTAAATGCTTGAACTTGAAATTGGAAAATTAATTTTCTTCCCCAAGGGATTATATTAAAAAAAAACTACAACTGGTATCTCGCAAAAATGCCTGGTAAGATACCTCAATTTTTTGTGAGTAAACATATTTAAGTGGCAATACTTCAATGAAAAACTCTTAGAAAAATGTATCCATTATTAAGGAAAACTTTTGTCTAGAAATATATAATGCTCACGAACATTCTATAGATTTCAATTTTTTCATTCTAAGATAATAACTTTCCCTTTTTAAAATATTCCAATATAAAATTTTCAACCGATAACTTTTATGTTCATATATCGGCTCTGTATCTCAACAGACCTATTTTTTCATGTTTTCCTCTATACAGATATACTGAATATATAGAGACAAAACAAACATGAGATATATGAAGATGATGATCAGTATTCAAGCTCAAATTCCATTAATACAATAAAAATCAGAAGCAGAGCATATACGACTTCGGACACATGAGAGGTGGAATCAGGTGTAGAGGAGTACTGGTGAGCATCCCATGCCGACCATGGCACTTCGCCGTGTAATCCAAGACATGATCAGGAAGACTACTTGAAGGAAAATCCGTAGACAATTCAAAAAAAGATAAGGTTTTTATACCTTAAATAAAATTTGTCTTCATGATACATGTTTACAATATCATTGCATTGGCTATCTTTCCATATTACACCATGCACAGCTTGAGACCCTAATTTTACCCAAAGGACTGAAGGACCGAAAACCATAATTCGTATTTTACTGGTATAGGTACTAGAAAAAGATAGGTGAGACCTACTTGGCCAAATATAAATTAAGTAAATCACCCGACTATTCAAGAATGCATTTTATTCTGTACTTTATACATATTTAACATTGATTGAATAAAATATTAAGGGAAAACTCTTATATTCGACACACATTTATTCTCTTTGAAGAGAAAATTCATTAAATCTTCCATCCAGAAAATGAAGAAAATTTTTCTCTTGCATAAGCAGCAAGATACCCGGAAGCCACATTAACCTTGTCTCCTTTCTTCAGACGGACAACTATCGTGTTCGAACCGCTACTCCAGACTTGCTGTGAAGTGTGCTTATTGTTAAATGCAGTCCATCCTTTATAATTACCATTAACTCTCAGGTAAGGATGGGCTGCTTTACCCGGCGCAGTCAATGTTGCCCAGGTAAACACATATACGCCACCAGAAGGCGCTGTAAAGGTTCCTGTTGCTTTGTTGTATGCATTACCATCGTTCACTAGAACTGTGTCATAGATCCATGTCTCGTGTTGCTTGTAACTTTTGGATGTTGACTGGTAAGCCGAAAATGTAACACTGCCTGGAACATTAAAAATAAATTATTTACTTTTTGTTATGATCCTGTAATCTTCATTCAATGTTTATTAACAATACCGTATAGGAACGCGTCCCCTATCAGGTTTTTTTCCGCGTCATGTTTTTTTCTGCGAATCAGAACCAAAATGAGTATATTAAATTTACGCGAATCAAATATTCACTATTTCAAAGTAGCAGTGAATATATTAAGCCAATGAAGAAATTGGATGTAAAATGTAAAGTTATTAAACTTGAGCTACTTCATACGGGTGAGAAAAAGATCGAACGACCTTCAACTCGTCAATATCTGAAGACCCGCTCTGCTGATTACACATCTGTGTTGGGTAAAAACTATCAAATCCACAGATGTTATTTTTTAAGATTTACACGTCCATAGTTTATTTAATATCCAAACTGACTAGCAGCTCAGGTATAATTTATTTAGTTTTAATAGCTTCTCAAAAGAAACGTGACCCATATAATTAACTGGTTTGTCATATATAATTGATATGTGACGAATATGATATTGTATATACGCTGTAATACTATGTCATGCAATTGTATATTATTTCGGTTGTTTATTCCCAGATAGCAAGACTATGTTGGGCCAACATTGGCAAAAGGTTGTATGGTTGGCGATGGGGAAACAACGTTGGGCCAACGTTAGACCAATGTTACCTTACCAACCTTCTCCACCATGACAGAATTCCTATGTTGGCCCAACGTTGGTCCAACGTTAGCAACACACATAGAGAATGCGTCTTTTCAAGTTGTTCGTAGTATGTTGGCTTAACGTTGGCCGAATGTTTGTAATACATCCTTAATAAAGTGTTTATCAAATTGGTAGTAGTATGTTGGCCCAACGTTGGCCCATCTTTTGTCATATACCCTTAAAGAAAATGTCTTATCAAATGGGTAGTAGTATATTGGCCCAATGTTTGTAAAACACCCTCAAAAAATGTCTTATCAATTTGGTAGTACATTGTAGTATGTTGGCCCTATGTTAGCACGAGTGTTCTTTTGCTTATGTGTTTTAAAGATGGGATATTTATATTAGGCCAACGCTGGCCCAGTATTTATACTGCCAACTTAAGATGGTGTCAATTTTAGCTGCTGAGCTGACATTCAATGACCATGCTTTTAATTTGATGACTGTTTTTGTATGGATCTGATATATTCAACATTTTAAATTTTCACTTAAGTGACCACAGCAGCAAAGAGTGTTTAATATTATATTTTTTTGAATTGTGCACGTGCAGGATTATTAATTTGAAATAAAACCCTTAAAATTATGAATTTTTTTCATAAGCGTTGTATTCATGAGAATTTAGAAAAGCCTGATTACGTTCTCAGGAACAGGATGTGAATGAAGCACACATATACATAAATCAAAATGACACAGCTTTATAATTAAATGAAACAAAAGTTAGGCGTTCGCTATCACGTGACCAAACTGTGGAGTGAGCTGACAGATTCAATTACTCAAATGTGGTGATAATGCAGGGCAAGCAAGAAGATTTGTGGATTATACACTTGCTATACAGCTGCATTTAGAAGCGATGTAAGTATATTTATTCTTATTTATTCAGGTTAACTGTTAAAATTGATTCGGAATTCATTCTAATCATGTTTTTGCACACAAGCACTGTAAGTTAAGGTTAAATAACATCTTTTAAGTTGTTTCTATCTATCTAATTCTTAAATGTCTATTACAGACATGATTGTAACAAAGAAATTCAGTCAGAGGCTGCAAGGAAAACAAATGTTGTGGTGGTACATGTAAATAACAATGCAATCGAAGACCATGCATAAAGAAATGTATAAAGTATGAGTCCGTATGACAAAGATCAAGATTAAGAAAACGGGAGGCGACGAAGGGACGGAAAAGAGCGGGAATACAAAAAATGACAATAATAAAGGAAGTGAGCCCTGATTAAGAACTTTGAATTGATAATTTTTCATAATTTGCCTTTATTGTCTATTTGAAAATTATTTTGTAAATTATGATTGAATTGATGTATATAAAATATTATCACAGTGAATCAATGTTGGACCAACGTTTGGCCGATGAGCAAAATTACCGTGGGCCAACGTAAGGTTACCAACAGTGGGCCAACGTTGGAAAAAAAAATTGGGCCAACGTTGGCATAACTATATCTTGCTATCTGGGTTATTCCTTTCTGTCAATAAAAATCCCATAAAATTTAATACTTTGAAGACTTACCCTGACCAGCATGACCATATTCACCTCCTTTGATGACCGAGTCTAATCCTTTCTCCATATTGCTCGCCTGTGTTTTCAAATATTTTAAAAACGAATTGTGCCCAGAAACAAGTTGGATCGCCACAATTAACACAATTATTATGATGCTTCCCATCCTTTCTGAAATCTTAAAGATTAAAAACATTGTTATATTACAATGATGAAAAATATTAGAGCAGAATAGTATGTTTAAAATACATAAATGAAAAACAAGAAATTAAAAAAATATATTTTTAACCTCTACTGACTGATTATTATTAATTCTATCGATTTTGTTGCTCCTCCTCTTATATGACCTTAAAATCGTTTGTAATACACTACTCCGAAATAAAATTTGATACACATGCAATTTGAAAATTTGTATAATTATTTTTAGCATTGATACAATTTATTGATTAAAAGTAAAAAAAAAAATAGAGTAAATATTTATAACCGCATTTACATGTACGAATGCATCCATCTTTTTAATCACTAATTATAAGAGATTCCAATGACCAAAACATATCTTGTCTTGATATGAGTAATACTGGAACAACATACATGTACACTATGTTTACAAATAATTATTAACCATCCTTCCAATTGATTTTGAAAAGAACAAAGTGCGGTATTGACCAAAAATGCCGGCTGTCAGACATGCTCCATTCAAAACATTTTGCAAAGGTTAGCATTTTTTAGAATTAAATGATATATAATTGATGAACCTGACTTAAATGTATGCACTGGAAAAAGATAACGAGGAATACAGTACCTTTTATAGCAGAACGTCGAGATTTTACGCAGAATTTTGACACGACGTCATGAATACGTTTTAATTGTACAGAAGTAAACGTAATCTGAAAATTCTTATTAACTCGAGCTCGCAAGGATACAGTTTATATTACACTCTAAATATAAATTTAAAAAAAAATAAGTTGTTGATTTATCAATACGTCATTATTGTTTCAGTTTTTATATTTATTTATTATGATTATTACTTACAATGTAATCCTCCACGAAGTGTCTTCGCTTTAAATGATTAGAATTAAATCCAACAGAGGAACGGAAAGAAAAGGAAATAAATGGACTTCTCTCTTTGAGAATTGCTTTTTTTTATTCCACTGATTATACGGGTTCAATAATTTTTTAAGCTATTTCTCCTAAATAAATTGAGAATTTTTTTTTTACAATAGATCTAGTGAAAAATGTACTGATGATAAAAAATCGACATTTCCCCGGCACCAAAAAAAAAATCAAAGCTTTAAATATGGTATGTAAGTTGCACGAAGATTTGAAGAAAAACATCGAATGTCAAGATAATTACCGGTATTATTTATTTTATTATCGATCATTATCATTGGAACAGTAGTTAAGAATACTATGGTAATAGTAGAGGAGAGACCCCCTGTAATGGTCCATTTTTCAAATTATTTTTTTTTTGGGGGGGGGGGGCATTTTTCAGTGAAAATTTAAAAAATGTTTAATATATAACAAAGATCCTTTACTATTTAACAGTTCCTGTAAATAGATCCACTATATGAATGTTTAATAAAATATGTAATGAAAGGCTGGATAGGCATTTTAATTTTTTGATCACGGTATTACCAACAACTTGCCGAGTTGATCCTGAAGTATTGATTGAAAAGGCATGATTAATATGTAATTATCAACGTAAATAACCTAATATTTCAAGGCAAAAAAAAAATCTGTTCAGCATTATAAAAGGAGAAGAAATGAAGAACCCCGACTCGAAAAATCATACCAAAAATGTAGTCAAATGAATCTGTGCCTTAAAAGCGCACAAACTTAAGAAAGAAACACACATTGAAAATTGTTTTTCCTATGTTATCCAAGTGATAGCGTCGGTAGTCTAGTGGTTAAGATGCCGAACTCCAAACCAAAAGGTTGTGAGTTAATTAAAATCCGGACCAAAGCAACTCGAGGTTGTGTCCTAGGAAAAGGCACTTTTCACGAATTTCCACACTCCATCCAAGTGTAATAAGGGGTACCGGGCTATAGACAGTGAAAGATATTGTCAGAATGTTAGCTTCCTTAAAGGCAGCTTGCACTGAGAAAGATTCTGGATTGTTATGGTCTGCTGGTCTGCTGGGGTAATACATGTGATGTATTGTAAAGCACATTGAGTAGCAATTACATGTATGCAAGAAAAGCGCTATATAAAATCAATCATTATTATGATTGGAATTGTACATTTAAGATCTCTTGCACTATATGTGTTATGTCTGCGTAAAGTCTCTAAAGTTAATGTAAGGCAACAAACAGTTTCAGAAATAAAATGCGTGACTCGGACTAGGCACAGCAATAGTTTTGCTAATGAATATTCATTTACATCTTTACTGCTTTTTCAGTGCACAGTAATCACCAGGCGGCTCTCTATCATCATAATCGTTAACTTCAGCAACAGAAACATCAGGTTCCTTATATCTTATCCCTGTATTGAGATTGTTGTAATCACTATCTTCCATTGCACTGCTTATGTTTCCATGGGCGTGGTCGTAAGTTTCATCATTTTCGGAATCCTCTTCCTTTTCATGCAGATGGTTGTATACGTCATCATTTACGTCATAACTTTTCATCATCGAACTTTCATTTCCATGGTGGGTGCGCGCGGTTTTTGTTCCTGGTAAATCAACAGAATGAGCAAACGGTGGGCCATTCACAATCTGTTTCTGGAAAGCAAAAATGATTAATGAAATATGCTTGCTTTATTTGATGTAATATGTTCTGATGAGTTAAACTCCATTTAACGACAGAACCAGGCAACACTGTCTTGGTTGTCTGCATATGATCTTGTTAAAGCCTTTTTTCTTTATTTATTTGAAAAGAATCAAAAATTAATTCTTATATATCAAAAAGTTATAGTACAACCCGAAACTACCAAAAACGAAAATTCAAGTCTCTAAAAAGACCTTTTCTTTGTTTGTTCTAGGAAATGCATCTATAGCAGTTTAAGGCGATGCGATTGTAATCAAGAGCATTAAATTTAAAAATTACATGTAATTGTATTTCAAAAAACATAATAAAATTAAGTAAATGAACTACGAAAATTACAATCTAAGGATGAATTTAACAAAATAATTATGTAATAAAAGGTGGGCCAATCTAGGCTTCAGCGAGTACTTGTATCTTTAAAAAGATGTAAAACTTACTTGCATGTTTTATTTAAGAACAAATTGATAATTTTATAAAGAATTCTTTTCGTCAAAAAGCAGAAAAATATTGTTACTACATCGTTATGTAGCAAATAAAATATATGCAATATTCTGTATATTTCTCACCTCATTTGTTCGTTGCTCGGCAAAAAGATTCTGATCTGCTCCTCTTTCAGTTTCATAAGAAGTGTTGTTAAAACCTACATCCGTCTGGTTATCTCTAATTAAAGATATGAAAATTGTAATTTGATTTCAAACATCAGTAAAACCTTTCAGGAAAAAAAAACATTACACAGAAACAAATTTATCTGTATATTAAATTTAAAAAAACGAAAAATAGTCCATGAGCTAGGCCAGGAATTTTTTTTTTTCGTTTTCGGTACCATCTTGGGTGAATAATTTTCATAGTTATTTTTTATGGATAAACATCTCTACCTTCAGATTATGTATGATAGCATTCAAATGATTGTGGCTTTAGTGGTGCATCAACTGTTTATGTACACGTACTCAAATTTTTCGTTCTCTCATTTATGTATATGAAAGAAAAAGATGGGGCTTTCAATACGCAATTTACATCTTCTTTCGATTGATATTTTCTTGCAAATTCTTTTGAATGCAGACCATTCTATTACCCTGTTCAATTATTTCTCAGTTTTGCTCTGTAATAAGTCCTGTAAACGATATTAGAATATAAGTTTACCATTGATTTAAAAAAGTGGAATATGCAGTTTTGAAATTGTAATACACATATGAAATTTCTGCAATGACAATTTTCACATCGAAAACATATTGCATGGTCATTTTATTTAAAGAATTGTATTCACTTATTAGCATTTAAAAACATTGTTTCAGTAACAATATATATACTTGATTTCATAGGAAATCTTTAATCCTACCCAAAAAATGAAAATTGAAGAAAAATTCCCTTGATTTACTCTGTACGTACATTCTTTACTTTACATAGATGTTATACATTAAAGTATTTTGATTAAGGAGAGTTGGGTACTTTTGACAAAAGATGTGTGAAACAGACCCATCACATCAATATGTCATAAGGGCAAAAAGACATAACGTTTTCTAAATCAGTATCCTAATAATCTCTATTTTTCATGTGTCACAAATGAAATATGCTTTTTTACAGGTTTGATATAGTAATAAAATGGCAGAGAACAAATCCAGATGCATCATTCACATGAACAAATCAATTGATAATGATGAAAACTTAATAAGTCACGTAAACTATGAATCATGACTTACATTGTAAGAAGCAGCTAGAATTAGAAATCATGAACCAGTTTTAAAACGTTCAGAAAAACTCGAAGTTGCTGAGGGGTCCATAAATGGTGTCCTTGATGGTAAGCATTACAATCGCGCTGTTAGAATACATAAGTGTATCTATGAAGCGCAACTGAGATTGGCTTGGTCCAAGTTCATACCTTGGGTGGAGGAATCTTGTCCAGACAAGGCTGCTGACATTAGAAAATTCTTGGATCAAGTGAATGACATGGCCAGTAACATCAACCACGAAAATCACACTGCTCTGCTTCATAGGGGCGAGAGAGGTCCTTGGGAGCTTTGGTATAAAATTACATTGCATAAGCTCAAAATCTTTTGAAACGATAGTGTTACATAAAGACAAAATGTGTAGATTTAAGACCTCGGGCTTTGACCTTTTGACCCCAAAATCAATAGGGGTCTTCAATAGGCCGCATGGATTTGTTATGTAGAATTTCATTGCAGAAATATCGTGTGGAAACGAAAGTGTTATAACAGACAAAATTTGATTATTTATTACCTTGATCTTTGACCTTTTGACCTAAAAATCAATAGGGTTCCTCTTCATTCTATAAGGAGTTGCTATGATAAATCTCATTGCAAAAGCTCAAAGGGTTCGTGAGATATCGTGTGTAATCAAAAGCGTTACAGACAGAAAGAAAGACGGACAGACGGACAAACCCAAATTAATATCCCCCACTTTTCAAGCGGGGGACAATATGAGATATTGGTAGTTTCAAACATTTTCTGTAGATCTGTGAAATTGTAAATCAGCAAAGAGAAAACATTAATCAACTATTTATCAATTGAAAGATTAAATTATTTTGATATTTTATACTTTTGAAATCTTGAAATCTTGGATATATTCCTCACAAACTGATAAGTATATATTTCATTGATTTCGATCAAACGCTTCAAATAGTAAGAAGGGGATCATAGAAAAGCGTTACTAACCAAGCCAGATTATACTCGATAATTTGGTCAAGAATTTGAGTCATTCCTTATAATTTAATTTAACTTTAAATGTCAAATTAAGTTGTTTTTTTTGGTTCAAATTTACCGCGAAATAAGACAACCGTAGTAACGGAAGTGATTGGAAGCGAGGGGATGTAATAACTGATTCGTAGACCTAGCAGCCATGATGTTTGTTTACAAGAGGTAAGACCGAGCAACTGTTTGAAAGTAAAGGTATATTTATTAAATCGGGAATTTTCCATGGATTCCTAGGACTGGAAATAATGGAATTGCGTGTATAAGATTATTAAGCTGGTCATCAATGGAGGGAGGGGGTGTCCTAATACCAAACCAGATGATACAAAATAATTTGTGTTCCTTATTGAAAATCAACCGATGAGAGGCAAGAATACAAACAAAATTAAATTTCATTCGAATATAAGTAAAATGTTCTTACATTTTATGTTGTAATATTAAAAATAATCCTTACTTGTTTTTATTCTCCATTTTAAAATTTCTTCATTTTATAATCTGACATATTGATAAATTCGTTGTTTGGAAAAAATAAGCAGCGCTTCATAGCTCGTACTATTATCCATTTGAAGCTGCTGTAATAGCTGTTGATGAAAATCGGTGTCGAGAAGTTCTTTTAAAAATATACAATTTAGAACATGGGGGTCATTAGTTTTGAAGGCTAAAAATGAAAATCTATCGTTCATATAATTTCAATAGTGCAAATTTTACCAACAATACATTTTGGGTAAATAAAGTATGAAGAAATATACATGTATAACATTGAAAAAATAAGAAACATATATGCATTCCATGATGTGTTAAATAACAAGTTAAGCTTGAATAATTTCTCTTTCAATGAAAAAAAGACTTTTGAATTCTATTTTTATTTATTGATCAGTTTTTGTCTTTAACAAAATTGAAATTTTCCGGCTTCTAGAAAAATACCAAGTTATTTAAAGCATTTAAGAATAATCTTTTTCAAAAAATATTTACGACAGAGGCTAGCAATATTCGAGTTTAGATTCCACAGATTCATTCCAATTTTCGTACTTTTTCCACACTATCACAAGTCGCCTGCGTAGCACAGTGGGTAGAGCATCTGCTCTAGAGACTCGAAGTGATACTTTTATCTTTATACGTCGCAGTTTCTAATCCCATTGTAGAATATGAAGACCAGTCCTTCAAATGAAACCGTATAAAATGAAGTCCCATGTCACAGTAGTTGCTGGCAAGAAATATACCATTCACTGCTCAATGGGTGTAAGTGTAGACTATTGGACTAAATATTCAGCCCTGCACCGACAAGATTTTATTGTCTCCATATGAGTGAAAAATTCTCGAGAAGGACTTTAAACAACAAACAATCAATCAATAATATCAGCAATATCTGGTTGATTTGATGGAATATTTCTGTAATTCATTTACATATCAGGTAATAATAGTCTCACCTAGCCCCAGAATTGTGAAACATCTTCAGCATGAGTACAATATTTAATCTTTCTGTTGTACAAAATGTTGTAGATGTTTAGAAGTACACATGATAAAAATGTAATATTGCATCAAGTACTGTAAATTATGTTCTCTGCAAATCAATATAGTATACTTTAACAGCTCTTTGACATTTTTAGACAGCGATTTAACATGTGACTTAAGTTTAATCTTATGATCCTTAGACCTTAGATCAATTAATAAATATACACTTAACAAAAGTGTTCACTTTAATGAATGTACTTATTTAAAAAAAAAACTACGCTTCATGAATATATATTTTCAAATTATTATAATAAATGAGTCTCCTTAACAATTGTAGAAAAAAATCGAATATCACTGATGAAAACCGATTTTCCGTGACGAAGCTCAAAACAATAAATCTGTACTTTTTGGCACATGTTTTGTGTAATAAAGATCTTTAAGTGACCATTATCAAATTCTGAAAACAGTTCCATTACAAGACATTGGCAAAATGACCAATGAGATAGAAGGGAGAGCATTTGAAATGTTAATATCTGGACCACGGTTTACTCACTTTTATTTTAGCGACTGTTTCATTGTCCTTGATATTACTTTTTTAAGTTAATAACCAGTATCAAAACTCATTTAACCACGTTTTTCTATATGCTGTGCGTCATTTTCATCGTCAATTTTTCACAATTTGAAAGCTTCTGACAAACTTTAATCAAATTGGAAGTGACCTTGATCATCGTCTGAGGTCAAATTTAAAAGAGTGCTAAATTGTCCTGAAACAATCTAAGACACATGAAAACAAATAATTTCGATCATATGAAAACGATACGAATTCGTTGTTCGGAACAGTCATATTTCAGGTCAAGCAGAATGAATCTTCTTTTAACCAAAAGGACCCTGTGTGACGATGCACTGTCAAATTCCCTATCTGAATCCCATGTTATTCATTTGGGATTTTTATAAGGAATGTCAAAGACCCCCCCCCCCTTCCACACAATTTCAAGGGTTTGAAAAGATATTTACTGTAAGTGTGACAGGAAATGGGTCAATCTCCTATTCAGAGGAACACGGTATCCAACAGTGGAGGATGTCTTGCACTAATTAGAGCCATTTGTGGTTTTATTCCATAGAAATTATTTTTAGTGAATTTTTATTTTGAGGGTACATTACTTCCTTTGCACTTTGCTTAATATTCTGAAGAGATACTTACATGAAATTCACGCACCATCCAACTGAAATATGCATCATTAACCATGGACGAAAGAATTTTTTTATTGTATGCATGCGAATTTGTTCTTCTTAAAAAAAACTTGAAAATGTTACGTGAACACTTAAAAGTTTGGTTCAGTGTACACTGATATATGTAAGTCAAGCTTATCTGGATGACATAATAACATACATTGTAGCTAAGATAAAAGTTGGTAAAATATAGACAAATTAGTACCGAGTTATTGAGAAAACCTATTCACCTTCACCTTACATGTTCACCCAATTGTATGTCTATAGCAGATATTTCAAAACAACTTACTAAAAAATTAATACGTTATGTTATTATAATATTACGTTGATGAGAAAAGTACTGAGCGTACGATCGAGTGCCTGTGTCATTTTTTTTGGCTGCATCGACATGCAAACACCTTACTTCGAATTTTCTATAGTATGATTTGAAAACGCATCACTTAAGGGGACCGACTGTGGTTTTCATTGCGCAATATATCGCACATCATAGTAAATTGAAAAGTATTTACCGTTTTAATGCAACCTTTTCTCTGAATTGATAAACTTGAATAAAATTAAGGAATTACAGGTCTAAAAATGTAATAACAATTCATATAACTGATTTTGTACTGAATCTTCAATTGATCAGAGTGTTGACGTTGTAACAGTGTTTTGTTTGTTTTGACGTTATAAAAAACTGAACCTCTTAAAGAAAGTGGTAATAAAATGTTATTAAATAAAAAGTAATAAACATACGCCATTGAAATTAAAAATATAAAAATTTGAGATTATCTCAGTCCATTATTTATATATTGTTGTCATGTTAATCTTTTGCTTCCGTTATATTCTGTAGTATTCGATAAAACAGGAAAATTCATAAAATTCTGGCATTTTGAGCTGCCCCCTCTGGTAACAAGAAGGTAGAAATTTGTGTTAATTACATATAATGTACAATATAGTATTAGTAATCAAAAATTATAATTTAAACAAAACTTTATTGTGATATTTGTTTAATTTGCTTTGAATTGCAAAAAAATCTCCTATGTAATCCTATAGTAAATGTACCTGTATTTTGATACGGTCCCTTAAAAATAACTGGACGTTAGATTTTCTCCAAACTAGGCATATACACTGGAGTTAATATAAGTTACATATGGTATAAAAATAACGAGTTTTGCTTTTGTACTTTTCACACAATAAAACCCACTCGACCCCCTTGATTATAAAAATAAATGGCGTATGTACAGGCAAATAAAGCCCGTTCTGCAGTATTAAATTGGAAGAAATTAAGATCTCTAACTAAGAAGATCATGCCATAAAATAAATGAACTCATCAAATGAAAAATCTATGTATTCTGTGACTCAAAGATTATCCAAAACCTCGAAAAATTAAATTAAGAATGTGTCCACAAACTCGCCAAATCTTTCCTAGTGTCGGCTGGAAATACTTTAATTCCTTCACTAATACACAGACAGATTAAAGCTTTCAAAATATATGTTTCATGTTTGCATAAGGTCTCTGAAGTAAGTCAAACAAGAGGCCCAGGGGCCACATCGCTCACCCGAGGAACTGGCTAGGAAAAAGCGAAAATTAGTTCAGCGTCGAAAAGTTTAAATATATTTTAAAATTGGGTTGATACCCCCACTGTGGCCCCACCCTACCCCCGGGAGTCCTGATTCGAATAAATTTGAATCTTCGCTACCAACGAATGCTTCTACACAAGTTTCATCTTTCTTAGCCCAGTGAATCTTGCAAAAAAAGATTTTTAAAGATTTTTATATGTATTCCTATGTTAAACTTTGATATGCATGAGTTTCATCTTTCCTGGCCCAGTGGATCTTGTGAAGAAGATTTTTAAAGAGTTTTCCTATGTATTCATATGTAAAACTTTAATACCCCATTGTTGCCCCACCTACCCCCAGGGGTCATAATTTAACCAAACTAAAATTTTCGTTACCAAAGCATGCGTCTATACAAGTTTCATCTTCCCTGGTCCAATGAATCTAGAGAAGATTTTGAGAGATTCTTCCTATATGTTAAAATTTGATACCCCTCTGTGGCCCCACCCTAACCCCGGGGGTCATGATTAAAACAAACTTAAATCTACACTACCTGAAGATGATTTCACATGAGTTTCATTCTTCATAGCCCAGTGGTTCTTGAGAAGATTTTTTAGAAATGCCATTAATTTATCATTAATTCATAATTATCTCCCCTTGGAAAAAGGCGTGGCCCTTTATTTGAACAAACTTGAATCCCCTTATCCCAAGATACTTTGTGCCAAGTTTGGTTGAAACTGACCAAGTGGTTCTTGGGAAGAATATGAAAATGTGAAAAGTTTACGACGACAACGACAACAACGACTCGAACAACAAAGACAACGAGAGATGATAGTTTTGATCAGAAAAGCTTACTTGATCCTTCGGCTCAGGTGAGCTAAAAAGGGCAACAAACAGTCTCATAAAAATGCATGACTCAGATTTATCATAACAGTGTCTTTGTACAATAATTTACAACTTCTTTACTGCTTTTTCAGTGAAGAGTAATCACCATGTTGCTCGCGTTCATAATAAACACTATCTTCAGTAGCTGAAACATCTGGTGCCATATATCGTCTCCCTGTATTTAAAGTACTGCAGTCACTTTCTTCCGTTGTACGGTTTATGTTTCCATGGGCGTGGTCGTAAGTTTCATCAATATCGGAATCCTCTTCCTTTTCATGCAGATGATTATATACGTCATTATCTACGTCATGACTTTTCGCCATCGAACGTTTGTTGGTGAACTTGTTTTTCGTGACTGGTATATCCATAGAATGAGCAAACGGTGGCACATTTACAACCTTTCTCTGGAAAACAAAAATGAAATATGCTTTCTTTATTTCATTTATATCTGATGAATTAAACCAGAATAACAGTATGTTTCAACCACGTATACATAGCACACCAAACATATCATTTTATTAAAGTTTAATAAAAGCTATAGCAGTTTAAAAGCGATCCGAGAGAAATCCAAAAAGGTGTCAAAGTTAGAATACTACAAGGAATAAAAAATAAAGCCTTTGAAAAATAATTAAATGAGTTAAGCAGGTTCTGTTCAACTAGGGTATACGGATAAGTAGTTCCACAAAACCGATTAACATCTTTCAAATTTAAAATTTGATAAGAAATAGTTCCTTTTATTGTAGATAGTGGGAATATTTTGCCTTATTCCTCCAAATAAATCCTTTTAAAAATAGTCCATAAAAAGTCCCCTTTACAAAAAATGTTTGACAATTCCACAGTAAACCTACATTGACATCAAAAGGGTCGACAGGTCGACAGTTGACACCTCTTACTAATCAAAAGTGTCACCACACAGGTCGACAGGGTGACAGTTGACACCTCTTATTGGTTAACCTACATTGACATTAAAAGGGTCGACAGGTCGACAGTTGACACCTCTTATTGGTTAACCTACAATGTTATCACAAAGGTCGACAGGTCGACAGTTGACACCTCTTATTAATTTTCAAATCCATCTGAGATATTTGGGTTAGTTTTCAAATCCACTTGAGAGATAAGGGTTAGTATTCAAACCCGGCTAAGAGATTAGATTTAGTACTTGAACCCTCTGAGAGATTAAGGTTAGTTTCAAACCCACTTGAGAGATTAGGGTTAGTGTCAAACTCACTTGAGAGATTAAGGTTAGTTCTCGAATCCACCTGAGAGATTAGGGTTAGTTCTCGAATCCACCTGAGAGATTAGGGTTGGTTCCAGAACCCACCTGAGAGATTAAGGTTAGTTCCAGAACCCACCTGTGAGATTAGGGTTAGTTCCAGAACCCACCTGAGAGATAAGCGTTAGTTCCAGAACCCACCTGAGAGATAAGGGTTAGTTTCAGAACCCACCTGAGAGATTAGGGTTAGTTCCAGAACCCACCTGAGAGATGAGGGTTAGTTATCGAACATGATAGATTAGGGCTGTTCCTCTAACCAACCTAGGGGTCATCCAGTCGACCTGCCTACCCGCCGACCCGTCTACCCGTTGACTTGTCAACCCGTCGACCTGTCAACCTGTCGACCTGTCAACCCGTCGACCTGTCTACCCATCGACCTGTCAACCCGTCCACCTGTCAACCCGTCCACCTGTCTACCCGTCGACCTGTCTACCTGTCAACCAGTCGACCTGTCTACTTGTCAATCAGTCAACCCGTCGAGCTGTCAACCAGTAGTCCTGTCAACCCGTCGACCTGTCTACCAGTCGACTTGTCAACCTGTCAACCTGTCAACCAGTCGACCCGTCAACCCGTCGACCTGTCTACCTGTCAACTTGTCGACCTGACAACCCGTCTTCTGCTGGAAAACATCTTCTTATTTCCTTTTCATTATCCAACAACGCGCATTAATTCGAATTCGGCGCATGAATCCGATTACAAAGCAAGGTGCATTAATTCAAATTTGGCGTATGAAAATATTTTCATCGGGACTACTTATCCGTATATCCTAGTTGAGCCGCAGGTTCAAGTATCTTTAAATATTATTTTATTGGCAACAAATTAACATCTTAGGAAGATTTTTTTTCGTCAAAAAAAAGCATCAATAATAAATTCGCAGGTTTTCAAAAAAAATATTGTTACTTAATGCTTGTTTAGCGATTTACATTAATTTTATACCCTGTATATATTTCTCACCTCATTTGTACTTTGCACAATAGAGTGGTTCTGATGTGCTTCTCTCTCAGTTTCATAAGAAGTGTTGTTAAAAAATTCAACTTTTTGGTCTTGTCTAATTTAATATACATAATAAAAATTGTTATTTGATTTCGACGATCAATTAAAATCTAAGAAATAAAAGATAACGCACCGAATCAAGTTTAGCTGTTAACATTTTAAAAAAAAATTCGAAAAGATTTATACTTTTTTCCAGCCTTGGGTTTCCCGTTTCTTATATATTTGTAGATGATGGTCGCAACAACAGTAAGGACAATGCCTAAGATAAGGCCGCCAAAAACACTCGCAATTGTAACACTAACAGCATAATTGTCTGAAGTGAATTACAAAAACTAATTGTACGAAATTACTTTCATTCTGTTAAAACATGCCAAAATAATTTTTTCTGTTAAACGTTTCTAATTATAATGTTGCAAATATATTTATATACACTGTTTATACATATGATTTAAGATACCGTTTACATATAGCTGATTCCCACTCCTTTTTTTACAAGTATTGCTTGAAGGTATTTATGCACATCTTACTTAAACATAATATGCAGAGAATTCTGTTACCTTTATGGTACTGGACACTTGGTTGAGAATTACGATCTGAGATCGCTGTAAGTAAATTGATAATATATGTATGTCAAGATTTTGTCTAAATCAAATAAAAACGTTACAAAAGTATTTTGTGAAAAAAACAATATATCCAAAATGTCACAAAAAAGCTTTCCAAAAAGCAAATAATTGATATATGCAATATAGGACTTTATCTCATTGAAAGAAAAAAAAACAACAACTGTTAAACTTACATTTTTCCAATATGAAATATGATATTAAAGGTGTAAGAATTTTATTCAAAAACTATAAAATTAAATTCAAATATACATACGCAGAAAACATTCGGAGTCATTGTTAATTGAGACATAGCCTTCTCTACAGGAGCATGTGTTGTTCTGACAAACAGAGCCAAATACCACAGAACACTGTTCATTTCGCTGGCACGATTCATTCAAACTTAAATTTCCTGATAAGCAAAACTACTGTCGTTAAAAAAAATACATATACTCACAGTCAATAGAAATGCAACATCCTAATTTTAGAGCGAAAATTATATACGTGTTATAACTATGTACGATAAATTGTTAGGACATCTTTTACTTTGCCAAATCAGTTATTAAACGGTTGAATGAATTTCGATCCATTACCAGAAGTTGCTTTTAGCCCACCTGACACGAATCAACATTTTGCATTTTAAATAAAATTTTTAACAATATTTTGGGTTTTCAAGGTTTTGTAGCTGTTAATTTTAAGTATTGTACTAAAATCCCGGGGGAAAATCCTTCTTTCTTTACCAGATGTGATGCCTATATTTCTTCAAAATGACTGATTTTCATTGCTAATGCTAAAAATTCTCAAATGAAAGAAAAAGGAGTTGCAGATGCAAATATACATTACATAACGACTCATCAGGCCTACGTGTTTCAATAGTATGAATGACAGTTTCTGAACCGGAAGTCCAAGAATTGCTACGCTACGCCAAGAAGTATATGGAGATAACGAACAGTATTCAATCTCAACGTCCAGTAAACAATATACAAAATAAGAGCATGGCAAACACGGACCTCTGAAACTTCAGAGGTGGGATCAGGTGCCATGGAGGAGTGAGCATCCCCTGCCGACTGGTCACAACCCCCGTGTGCTCGTTGTCATGATCAGGAAATAACGGAAAAAATCCGTCGTCAATTCAGTGTATAAATAATGGACTAACAATTGGTATGATAAAGGTCAGTCAGCATTTGACTCAATAATAAATTTTATTTGCTGAAAAGGTCATAGTATCGACCATAGAATTTACAAAATGATGAATTTAAACGATACTGTTGATATTCTTGTTTTATCAACTTGCTTGTCAATAATTTACCTCGTTTTAGAAATTGCTCATACGTAGAGCATGTTCTTGTGTATCGAATCAACTGAGATATATATACTCCGTATGCAGGTGATGAAGGTATATTGCTGCATAAGTAAGGGAAGTTGACAATAGAAAACTTAAAGTCATCACGTTTATCATATAGCTTAGTTGTTATATGACCATTAGTGTCTTTTTCAAGTAAAATATCCAAGTATGAAGCAGAAGTGTCGGACTCTGTGGTATATTTTATCTCAAGCTACCAGGATATATCGTATCGACATAGGAATGGAAATTTTCATTATTAATTGACAATACGTCTTCGATATATCTAAATGTCGAGTTGAAGGTTACAGCAAGTGTTTTCTTCTTTTCACGCATAAGATTTTGCATAAATTCTGCTTCATATGAATAGAAAAATAAGTCTGCTAATAACGGAGCGCAATTTGTACCCATGGGAATTCCAATAGATTGTTGGAATACCTGGTCTCCAAAAACCACATAGATATTGTCAATCAGAAACTCAAGTATCTTCTTGATGTCAACTTCAGAGTACTTATGTGTGCAATCAGAATCTGTTTTAACAAAATAATTTTTCAAATGACCAATGATGAGGTAAGTAAATTTACGAGTTCCATTTTTGTTGAAGAAGCAGCTGTCAATGATATCAAAAAGCCTTGATTTTAATTTGTCGTGAGGAATCGTTGTGTATAAAGTTGAAAAGTCGTAAGTTTTTAAGCTTTTGATTTTTGTAAAGTCTTGTGATTTCAAAATGTCCAAAGGTTTTTAGAATTTTTAAGTATCCACATCTGATTTACACCACTTCTTGAGTATATAGTTGCACAGTACTCTTGAAGTTTTTCTTTCACTATTTTAGTGAGAAGTAACGAAAGAGGCTTTGTTGAACATTTACCGGAACCTGCAATGTATCTTTGTTTGTAAGGATTCTTATGAAGTTTCGGAATCCAATATATATAAGGTAGTTCAAATTCATTTTCGCTCTGTGGAATATTAAAAGTATTCAAAACTGACATGTGATTTTGAAGAATTTCTTCCTTAGAAAGAGAAGTATGAGTATAAGTAGGGTTACCACTTGTAGAATTAAATCCAAGTTCTTCTAGAATGCAATTTATATAATGAGCTTTACAAAGGAAGACAATGTTGTTACCTGCTTTGTCGGCAGGAGTCAGTACGTACTGATCGTGTAATCTATCTTATTCTTTTTTCACTTCTGGTTTATTGAACAAAGGATAGATGGTTTTCATTTTGCCCCTCAATCTTTTGATACGTGACTTTAACATGGATTTGATACATTTAATTCATTCTGACAAGGTGTCAATGTCTTCTTTTTCATATTTGGCCCATCGTCTGGCGTAATTTTTAACAGAATCCATAATATTTATGAACTTCCGACGCCAGTTGAAGGAATGGGGTTCCCTTTATTTAGGACCTTTTAAAATAAGTGATCTAAGGTCCTCATTACAAATTATATTACCGTCACCTGTTATAACGTGTCCAGCAGGACTATAGTTATAGGGCGAAGAAGAACAGAAACACGAAGGGGGATTATTTTCAGATTGTGGATATCCAGGCCATGTAAAGTGTTTTTGTAATTGAAAAGTTTGGAAACAATGGTCGATATATATTTGTAGGAAATACATGGTGTAGTCTTTAACTTGAAATATGGTGGAATACAAGACTGGACCCTTTTGTAATTAAGAATATTACTTATATTAACCGCGTCAATTCCTTTATTGGCATATTGAAGTTTAAGGAAAAGACGGACTGTTTTAGCTGCATTTTCTTCCGTGAAACGTGCAGGTTTAAAAAGCCTAATTGGATGTTCTTTGGCCTTTTCAAGAAGACTATTTAAAAGCCTCAAAGGGACAGAGTAAAGTTTTGTTCGAATATGATGTAGACCTATCTGTTGTTTTTATATCAGGTAGTAATGAATCAAAAAAGACGACGTGTATTGCAGGTTTATTGTACAAACGATGTCCATGACTACGCTTACGTCTCTAAGCATTGTAAAAAAGTCCCATCACATTTACATTATTACACTGCGGGCTTGAGAGATTTCTAACACTATCGACATTGTCATTACATCCATAGGGAAAGGCTGTCCCTAGTTTCCTAATCCAAAATTCTTCTCGTTGTCTACGGAAAGGTGTACTCAACGACGGACTATTTGTGTGGTGATAAATCTTTTCGAGAATTCTAACTTTCATTGATAAAATAGAATGATCAGGTGAATTAAAATTTTGATATAAAAAGCTGCTGACCACCATGATTTATTTAAAATCGATGACCTGATATTCTTTTGTTAAGCGATCCCTTGGTTTCACCGACATAAATAAATCCAAACAGATTCAGTCTATTCCATAGACAACAATAGAAGATTTGCAGTTAAGATTTTCCCAAGTTTTGGTATAGAAGCTCTGTCCAGTAAGATTACTGGTGAAAGAAGTGTCAGTTATCAAAATGTCACAGGTTTTACAGTTTTGCATAGAACATTTTGAAACCGAAGACATTGGATCGGAAAAGGATATGACCAATATATCTGTAATAGAAACTTTACACTTTTTCAATTTGGTATATGATGTATTGGTTTTATACCAAAACTGGGAATCTGAAGACAGTACATATGACATATGTTTTATATCCCTGAGGATAATGCGAGGGGCACCAAATGAACTCCTTGATTCTGTGTCCCTTATAGAGAACATTTGACAGCAGTATCTGAAAAACATGCATTTAAAAATGCCCAAGAATATTAATTTCGCTCAGATTAAGACATTTATAAACCTAATGCAAGGTACAAATCAGGCTGCATTTGTTGCATATGGCGGACAAGCACGTTTTAATCAAATGGTCGGAAGGGGTGTTTTAAGAGTAAATTATCTTTCTACCTAAATACTGGTATATTCATGTTAAATGTTATCATCAAACTTAAGAAGGTTACAAATAACTCTTTTAAACATGCCTCCTTCTAGCTATCAGTCATTTTGAGGAAATCAGGCAACCTATGCATCACATCCGGTAAAAAAGAAGATTTTTTCTTGGGATTTTAGTACAATACTTATTTTTGATAGCTTCAAAACTTTTAAAACACAAAATATTGTTAAAATTTAATTAAAATGCAAAATTTTGAATTCTGCTAAGAGGACTAAAAAGTAACTTCCAATAATGGAAAGAAATTCATTCAACCGTTAAATAACTGATTTGGCAAAGTTAAAGATGTCCTTACTATCTTCGCACATGTACAAAGTTATAACCCGTATATAATTTTCACTCTAAAATTCGGTGTTGCTTTTCTATTGACTGTGAGTATATATTTTGAAAAAAATGCCATTTTCCTGTTAATAAAAGGGGGTTCATTTTATGCTCTTTTTTTTACAAATTTATTGAAATTTACTGAATTGAAATATGTTAAAAGTCAACATAAGTGCTAACTTTTGGCTAAATCTATTCGATCATTATACTGCTTATATCGATTTAACTTACTTTTTTTTCTTTTATACCGGATGAGCAATCGAAGATTAATTTTCATCGTAACGATTTTCTATGATATACACATGTTATACTGAGTCATTACATAATCATCTTTGAACTGAAGATAAAAGAAACAACGGAGTCTCTTTAATATTTGGATGTTTTGCTCGAGAAGGACAACGATGGCAAAGTAGAAATCAAACTTTATGCTACAGGGGTTGAATTAAACTGTTTCTATCTTCAATGTTATTTAGCAATAGAATTTTCTAAACTGCTCTGATGCTCATGTTTCCCCGTTGATTGATTTCATAAGAGAGTGTTTTTATCTACAGTTTCTTTACTGAGACACTGAAAAATAAGCCATATTGTTTAAATTAAGCACAATTTGCAAACTATATTATTTAATTATTTATATAATGACCTTTTGTGCAAATATAAGTGTTGTTGAATAGTTGTTTTCTTTATTATTATTGTTAGACAATCTATTTTGAATTCATTGATAGAATTGTCTTCTTAAATACCATTTTCCTCTACTTGACAGTTTATTTTACTCTAGAGGTTTAGGTTTTTTTGGAGTCAATGTTGTGTTTGTTAGTTATCTTTCCTCTTGAGCATTTGTTCTATACCAGTTTTCAACTTTTATTCGAATTCGAAATTGTGGTTTGATTTAATAATTCTATTTATATTGTAAGGGGTCATTTCAGTCCTCAGTATGAATGATAAGGTGCTACTTTGTGTACGCATTTTCAAAATAAGACATTAATATTTGTGAATTAGTTACAACAAGCCGGTATTTTAATTTATACAATATCTGTAATAGAAACTTGAAATGAACCTACGGGAAAAACAATTGGAATCATTGAGTGGGATGGATCCTGGCCTACAGACACACCTAAAGCTCTGACAGACCGAACCAACTGTGCCCGAGCACTGCTCACTTTGCTGACAGCAATCGTTCAGTTTCAAATTTCCTGAAAAATAACACAAACTTATGTCAAATAAAACTCAACTATTCAACGGGAATGTTTCGTTTAAGTAAGAAACAATGCATCATCTATTGGAATATAAATACGGTTTGGTCACATTATAAAATCGTATACGGTTAAAGACTGGGGACGTGGATGGTAAATTTGACCACGTATCAACCAGTATCTATATAAATTATATTTCATTTATGTTTAGATATGTGACATCATATCTTTCTGCATGATTATTATCTACAATTAAAGATTGACACATTTTATTTTTTTAGCGTCTCTGGTTTGATCAACTGAAAGGGCGTCGATCCTATATGACGTCACTGAAAAATAGCTCGGAAAGTTTGAAATGTAAAAAACCTGTGTTTATGATAGTGACAGAAATATGTTATACATGAGAAAAAAAGGCAAGTAAAATATCTGTATATAAATTACATAAAGTCAATATGATTCATAACATTTACCCTCTAAACATTCGTTTCCGAATCCTATATACCCAGATTTACATACACAAAACCCAACTTGCTCTGTTTGCGATCGCACACATGTCTTGAATTGATCTGCACATGCTTCAGTAAATGTACACAAATTTTTTGAGGTGTCAACTGGAAAAAGAAGTGTTTCATATGAATAAAAATGGGGTCAAAGGAATAATTGTATATATCAGTCAATGTCTTTTCCAGAATAAAACAGTATTAAATATTATGAATATTTAAAGTTAATTGTGTTTACAAATACTTAAAATTGTATATGAAATCTCGCGTGCTTTATTAAATCTATTAAGATTAATTATTTCCTACATTATATTGTTTATTAGATATATTTCAATTTCTTAAATGGCTTTATTATAAGTTTTACTTAAGCGTAGAATCTGACTATGTTTTGCCATCATTATAATTCATAACCTAGTCAAATGGATTTGTTATTATAACCCCCCCCCCCCCCGCTTGAAAAATGGGACGGTAAATTCACTATGTAGTAATCAGTATGTCCATCCCTCCGTCCGTACTTCCGTCTGTCTGTCCGTCCGTCCGTTTTTCTGTTACGCTTTGGGTACCCATATCTTATCCACAACTTCTCTTATACAACTGAGTGAAGTTTAATGAAACTTTCAAAAAATATTTAATAAATATTGCCAGTGTGAACCTCCTATTTTAATCAAAATATCAAAATCAAAATAAAGCAATGTATTAGTGAATTATTTACAACAAGCCGGTATTTTAATTTATACAATATCTGTAATAGAAACTTTCAAATGAACCTACGGGAAAAACAAAAGGAACCATTGAGTGGGGTGGATCCTGGCCTACAGACACACCTATAGCTCTGACATTCTGAACCAACTGTGCCCGAGCACTGCTCACTTTGCTGACACCTATCGTTCAGTTTCAAATTTCCTGAAAAATGACACAAAGAGATGTAAAATAAAACTTAATTATTCAAAGGAAATGTTTTGTTGTAAAAAACAAGGTATCATCTATCAGAATATATATATACGGTTTGGTCACATTATCAGATCCTATACGGATAAAGACCGGGGACGGGAATGGTAAATTTGACCACGAACCAACCCGTATCTATATAAACTATATTTTGTTAATGTGACATCATATATTTCTGCATGATTATCATCTCCATTTAAAGATTGACACGTGCGATTTTAAACATCATGGCGTCACAAGTTTGATCAATTGAAAGGGCGTCGATCCTATATGACGTCAATGATTTATATAAAAATTGAAAGTTTTAATTGTGAAAAACCTTAGTTTATGATAGTGATAGAAATGCATTGTTTAAACAGTGTTATACACGAGAAAATAACATTTGCAAGACAAATACATGTTTATAACTTACATCAAGTCAACATGATTTATAATATTTACCCTCTAAACATTCGTTTCCGAATCCTAGGTACCCAGATTTACATACACAAAACCCAACTCGCTCTGTTGGAGATAGAACGCATGTCTTGAATCCATCTCTACATCCTTCAGTAAATGTACACAAATTTTTTGAGGTGTCAACTTGAAAAAGAAATGTTTCATATGAATAAAAATGGGGTCAAAGGAATAATTGTATATATCAGTCAATATCGTTCCCAGAATAAAACAGGATAAAACATTATGAATATTAAAAGTTAATTGCGTTTACATCGTACAAATAAGTGAAATGGTGCTTGAAATCTCAAGGAGTGCTTTATCAAACCTATCAAAATTTAGTAATTCCTACATTATACTGTTTATCAGATATATATTCAGTCTCTTAATTGGTTTTTTACATTTCCTTAAGCGTAGAATCTGACTATGTTTTGCCATCATTACCTAACAAAATGGATTTGTTATTATACCCCCCACTTGAAAAACGGGACCGTATATACACTGTGTAGTAATCGGTATGTCCGTCCGTCCGTCCGAACCTCCCTCAGTCTGTCCGTCCGTCCGTCTTTCTGTTACGCTTTGGGTACCCATATCTTATCCGCAACTCCTCTTATACAAATGAGTGAAGTTAAATGAAACTTTCAAAAAATATTTAATACATATTGCCAGTGTAATCCTCCTATTTTAATCAAAATATCAAAATCAAAATAAGGCAATATATTTGTGAATTATTTACAACAAGTCAATAATTTAACTTATACGGTATCTGTAATAGAAACTTTAAAATGAACCTACGGGAAAAACAAAAGGAATCATTGAGTGGGGTGGATCCTGGCCTACAGACACACCTATAGCTCTGACAGATCGAACCAACTGTGCCCGAGAACTGCTCACTTTGCTGACACCTATCGTTCAGTTTCAAATTTCCTGAAAAATGACACAAAGAGATGTAAAATAAAACTTAATTATTCAAAGGGAATGTTTTGTTGTAAAAAACAAGGTATCATCTATCAGAATATATATATACGGTTTGGTCACATTATCAGATCCTATACGGATAAAGACCGGGGACGGGAATGGTAAATTTGACCACGAACCAACCCGTATCTATATAAACTATATTTTGTTAATGTGACATAATATATTTCTGCATGATTATCATCTCCATTTAAAGATTGACACGTGCGATTTTAAACATCATGGCGTCACAAGTTTGATCAATTGAAAGGGCGTCGATCCTATATGACGTCACTGAAAAATAGCTCTGAAAGTTTATAATGTGGAAAACCTATTTTTATTACAGTGACAGAAAAACATTGTTTAAAAAGTGTAATACACGAGAAAATAACATTTGCAAGTCAAATATCTGTTCATTAATTACATTAAGTAAATATGATTTATAAAATTTACCCTGTAAACATTCGTTTCCGAATTCTATGTACCCAGATTTACATACACAAAACCCAACTCGCTCTGTTGGCGATCGCACACACGTCTTTAATCCATCTTTACATCCTTCAGTAAATGTACATAAATTTTTTGAGGTGTCAACTGGAAATGGAAACGTTTCATGTGAATAAAAATGGGGGAAAAGGAATAATTGTATATATCAGTCAATATAGTTCCCAGAATAAAACAGTATTAAACATTATGAATATGAAAAGTTAACAGTATATACAAATAATTAAAATGGTAGATGAAATCTCAAGTATTTAGAGTGATACCATGCAGGCCTTTATCAATTTAGCATATTTCTGAACAGACGTGCTTTATAGAGGTAAACGCCTATGAAAAAATGAACACAACGAGGGAAATAATGACAAATACAATTCTCACATTGTTTTACTGTAGAAGTACTTTTTTTCCGCGTGGTACTAAATTACGCTATAAACGCGGTCACAAATAACCGCAGAAATTTGTCCAAGCGTACTTAATATAAATGAAAGGCTATGCATATAGTTACAATTTAGAAAATCTCCGTTATTATCTATCCGCGAATTAAACGGAAATTGAGATTCCGCGGAATTATGACCCCGCGGAAAAAATACGTCTACAGTATTTGTACGATATTCCAACGGTTAAGTTTTTTTTTTATAAAAATGAGTCAAACAGTATCGAGTTTGGTGTTGATTGATTGATTGTTTAACTTCCCTGCGTGGGATACAAGCCTGCGACGTAAGGATCAAGTTTTTACTTTGCAACCTTTGAGCAGACGCTCTAACCACTGCGCCACGCGGGCGACCGTTCGTGAAGAGGATAAAAGTTTGTTTAATGAAAGACTGCATCATCTTTCAGGGGAGCATAATTAAGAAATAATAAAAATTTTGTGGCATAATGTTGAAAATTTCTCTCTAGAATATATTGGGCAAAAATTTAAAGTACAAAGTCTTTATATAGTTTAGAGTAAAGTTTGTTTAAATGATGACTCCCCGGTGAAGGATGACAAATTTTATAATTATTTCAGGTCATTCAGATGGGAGAAGTAATGCGAGAATATATACTGAAAGGAAAAAGAAATGCAAGGTAATATTATATTCGAAAAGTTTTGACTGCATGACCGCAAACAACGAAAATTGGCCAAGCTATATGATAAACGTGATGAATTTAACTTTTCTATCGTCAACTTCTCTTACTTATGCAGCAATATACCTTCATCACCTGCATATGGAGTATATTTATCTCAGTTGATTCGATACGAAAGAGCATGCTCCATGTATGAACAATTTCTAAGACGAGGTAAATTATTGACAAGAAAGTTGATGAAACAAGAAAAATCAACAGTCTCGTTTAAAGTCATCATTTCACAAGTTCTATGGTCGATACAATGACCTTGTCAGCAAATACAATTATCACTGAGTCAAATGCTGACTGACGTTTTTCATACCTATTGTTAGTTCCTGATTTATACAGTGGACCTTCAGATATCCGGATGCTTCACGTATCCGGTAAAATGGACTGGGAACCAAAGCGTCCGGATAAATGAGGGTCCACTGTATACTGAATTGAAGACAGATTTTTTTTCGTTATTTCCTGATCATGATAATGAGCACGACGGGGGTTGTGACCGGTCGGCAGGGGATGCTCACTCTTCCATGGCACCTGATCCCACCAATGATGTTTCGGGGGCACTTGATTGCTCTGCTCTTATTTTGTATTGTTTTATGGACTTTGAGATTGAATACTGTTCGTTATCTCCATATCCTTCTCAGGTGCGAAATTTTGTTACTATGCACCAAAAGTAGTGTTCAGAATTACTCAACCGTATTATTTTTGACGTCACATAGGGAAAACACTAACAAGACTCGAACAAGTGCAATTTGATGACGACGAGTTTGTCAACAAATCTTGTTGCAACATTTGGTGCACCTGAGGTATAGACATTGTTTTCCAATAATTAGAGACATTTTGAATTTCTTGCAATCTTGGTACACTTTACGGATGTTCCATGGGGTTTGGTTTTCGAATTGCTTAATTAATGAAAAAGGCAACAACGGGTAACTAAGCAGTTTCTTGTGAACTTTTCACGATAAAACTTGTTACCCGTTGTCAGAGAGGGCCTGGAATGGTTTTCAATCAACCTTGACGATGACGTTAACGCAAAACAGAGTCATGTTACGAGCGGGTAATTCGTCCTGTCATCTCTAAAATTGCCACCTTACCTGCCTTACCGGAAAATGAAAGGAAAAGATTGCGCAATTTGGTTTTTGGGGCCGGTCAACTTACTCTTGTGTTCCTCTCTCTGGCGCATGCGCGCGTCGTATGACTAATTTTTTGCGTGGTTACGCATGCCCTATATAGCCAGGTATTGAAAGATAAAACCTCTGATGAATTCCATACAAAGGAGAAATAAGGCTCGTGCGCGGGAGAGAAATTGAAGATATTGAGATTTTTCGATTTTCACTTTTTGGGGGTATCGGCATGTGAGCTTCGATTACTCATTAATTATTAAACAAAATTTTATTAAACAAAATAAAATGGGATTTCGGGTATATATTTTTGAAAGATGATTTGAAAAGAAACTTAAAGAAAAAATATATTTAATTCATCTCAAAAGTTTACCCTGCTTATTTTATTGAACATAATGCAACCATAAAAATGATAAATAAATACTTAAATTCTTAGAGACTTTCAGCAGGAAAATTTTTCTTGAAAAGTGTTTAACATTTTTTTTCCAGATCAAAGTCAATAATTGATTAGACAAGTCACCTTTGTTAAGAACGGCGGCACGCAATATGCACATGTGATATAAATCAACAAGAATCTGTGTGTGCATCTATATATGTAGAATGCACAATCACACTCATGATGCAATTCAAGATCATAAAATTTAAAACTGTTCTTGCTAATGGAATTAAAAGTAACTTTGGGCGTTCTGGTGATATCAAGAAAAAGGGGCTTGTCCCTCAAAATAAGGAGGACGGGATGTATTTAATTGATAGCTCTTTAAAATATTTTGTGAGTGTGAAATGGAGAAAATATCATGCGTCGAAGATATCGCTGAATACGAGCAGTATTCTGGAAATGTGAAAGTCTCTTATACAAAAGCATCGCCGACTTCAGTGATTCTTGTACACATGGGCTACCCAACAGAGTAAGGGCATTTCTTTAGCACCACAAAGGATCCTTTATAATTTATTTAAGTTATCATTTATTTTTACATACTTACCGCCTTCATGGCAAAAGATTTCCAATGTTTTCTCTTCATATAAAGTGAATGAAGAACTACATTTCGGGTTAATTTTCTTTGAATTGTCAACGAAGCCATCAATTCTTAGAGCCAAATACTTCAGTTTATAATATGGTCTTTCTTCTAAGCCTTCAATTTTAACATTACATTTTTTGGAACAAGAATTTGTGTCTGAAAAATTTAATAGAAAACAATTAAGTAATCATGCAGAATTTCAATCATTTTTTAATAAATAATAAATCAAAAAAAACACTTCGAGATTCTCTACTACAAAGTATCTTATAGAGCAATATCGCTTATATTAATTTGGCAATTTTTATAAACCACAGACAATGCCTTAATATTTCTTCGGTGGGGTAATTTCGTACATAGTTTTTTTCACTGACAGGGTTCGGGTTTGGCTTGGATTTGCCTCAACAGGTATGAGATTTACCAACCAGGTATTATCCCAAATGTCATTTTAAAAATATGTAAATAATAATTCTAGTCTCTACACAAAGTGCATATATAATTATGTTATTTTAAAAAATGTATTTAAATATGCGAGTTAAATCTTGATTTTCCTGGGATTTATTTTGGATAATTTATGGGGGTGTAAATTGCAATTTAATTTTTTATTTTAAAAAAATGACGTTTTACAACATTTCATAATTCATTATCGCGTTGGAAATGCTTTTTTGTAGCAGCACTGATCGAGGTAGAATCATAAAATTGTTGTATTATTATGTGCCATAAAACAGTAGCCTTTCCTCCAATGAAATTAAATTCTTCCTTGTAACCTTACACTGGATTTTCAGTAAGTAAGCATGATAAAAAATAATAATTATTGCCATTTAAACACCAACAAAAATCTGAATAAGTTGTGCTGATATAACTTACATTGTAATGTGAGTAATTCTTTGGTTTACCTCTTTCAAGCCAATTTCTTGCCTCCCATAATCGAAACCAGCACGCTTGATTCCACCATGCAAAATCAATTGCCCTTTCGAGGCAAACATCACTTGAAATTTAAAAAAAAATCTTGCAACAATCCTTCAGTCTACGCTTTAAGACTCTGGGAGCCGTTTTACAAAAGAACTTACTACTGAAGACTAAATTGAATTCTTCATATAACTTTCTAATTAACATTATATCGAAAATTATTTAAAATTTTTAAAAAGAAATATGGTAAGATATTTTTACAATTTTTTTATACTTAATTTTGCGAAATTTTACAATAATGATAAGCGTTTGGTCTTAGTCGTAAGTTCTTTTGTAAGACGGGCCCTTGAATTGCTCTTTGAGTATAAATAAAGAGCGAAAAAATAGAAAAGTGAAATGAAAATTTGAAATGTTGAATAATTTTAATTCAATAGCAATGTCTTTCTAATAGTTAAGTTTATACAAGGTATTTTTTAAATTTATAAATATTACCATTGACAGCGATCAAATACAAAATTGAGGTATTTCTTTTCATATGTCGGAGTATACGAGGGCTGTCCCAAAATTCCGTAGACAAGCGTTGTTTTGTTGGAATCCTACGTCATACATGAATGAAACTTTGTATATAGGTTAAAACAACACTATCTAATAAATTTATGGACAAATATGGAGTAACTACACAAATTATTCCAATTTAAAAGACATATTTTATTGTCTGGTGTAGGAAGGCGACGCAAACCCAAAAGTTGCAATTAAAATTTGGTATATTATATTTAAAATCCTACGGAAAAGTAATAACTACCCCATATTTTATTGAATGGAAATACAAATTCTTGATATTGTTTTATTAACTATATTTCCTCAAATTTTGGTGTGTATGCTATGATAAATATGAATTTTATAACGTTTAATATACATGGGGTTAAAATCCGAATTTGAAAAATGGCGGCTGCTTTGGCCCAGGCGGCGCACTGGACTATGATCAAGTGTTTTGATTTTTAATTCACTCTTACAGAAATGTACCAGTCATAAATGTTTGGTAGACTAGGAAACTTTTTCACCTCCTTAGTATTTAAAATGACTAAAACGGTTTCTCTATGTATATGTCAATAACACTAATTAAAATAAAAGACAGGGCTAAGAAATGGGCAAGAGTTCCATTGCGCAAATCCATTAGAGAAAATAGACAAAAAGTCCGTAGTAATATAGCCTTTTCAAATTATTATTATTTCATACCTGTACAAGCATATACTTTGTTTACATAATTTAATGTTTGATTATATCATAGTAATTGAGATATTTTACATTTATAACTATAAACGTTTCGTTTAATTTAAGAATTTGATTCTGGTAATTGAAATATTTTCTCCAAAAATTTGAACTGCTGACATTTGTATTTTTTGACGTTGCAGATTGCTCCGGGTGTTAGAGAACTATATCACTTTAAATGTTACACTGTATTACTCGTAAAGTTTTCAAGTAAATATAATAAAACTTCGTAATTTATCTGCCAAGAAAATGCTTTATCCACCCTGAAAATTTTATAAAGATACATTGATTTCTTTCAAAGATATGAGCTCAGTCTACGAAATTTTGGGACTCGTAAATCAAGACCATTGCTAAAACTTGAAATTCTTGTCTTATTTTTTTCTGATTCAAGTAAAAATTGATTGATTGTGTGTTGTTTAATGTCCCTCTTGAGAATTTTTCACTCACATGAAGACGTCACCGTGTGCCAGTAAAGAGCTTCAATTAAGACCTATACTCGGCACTCAGGACCATTGTGAAGTAAGGGTTCTTTAACGTGCCAACCACTACTGCGACAGACGTCTCCATAGGAGTGAAAAATTCACGAGAGGGACGTTAAACAATATACAATCAATCAATCCTACCTACTGCAACGCGGGATCTGTGTTTTTTAAGGTCATACCTGAAAGACTAGTGACGTTCACTTCAAATGTCGAGCGTTTAGCGAAGGAATAGTCACTACCTATGATAACTCGTAGGTTTGATGCGGAGCCGCGAACAGGACCTACCGATCACAAAGCAAACACTTTATCACTAGGCTACAGTGACCGCTAATTCAATTTAAGTAAATCATTTATATTTAAGGAATAACTGTCTTATTTTTCGATTTCATGATGTGATCAAACGATTGCCTTGCGTGATAATTTGCATTAACGCCAAATGACAGTTATTCCTTATATTGACATGCTTTTGATTCTGCTTCTGTCTAGCTATATGTCCCGACCTAAACGTGATTTTTAAACCGCGCATATTGATGAACCAATACATTGATGGGGAAATAGATTACATTTACAATTTGTAAATTTATCTAGGACAAAGAAATTGGAAATATAAATATTATAAAATATAAAGCCAGCAAGCTAGGTAAAACCATTACGATTTCATGTAAATGTATTATTTTTAAAAGATGAAACATATGGAGAAAAAGAACTGTAATCCAGATCAAAAAGTCATAAAGAAATAAAAAATAGTAGCAGATTTAGAGCAAACATGGACCTCTAAAATTAAACATCAGAGGTGGGATCTTGTGCCATGGAGAAGTGAGCATCCCCTGCCGACCGGTGCACACCCGCCGTGTGCTCCTTGTCATAATCGATAAATAACGGAAAAGTCTGTGGTCAATTCAGTGTATAAATAATGGGCTAACAATTAGTTTGAAAAAGGAAAGCAAGCATTTGACTCAATGATAGATTGTTGTGCTTACAAAGTCATTGCATTGAACATAGATCTTACGAAATGATGACTTATAACAAGACTGTTGATATTCTTGTTTCATCAATTTTTTTGTCAATAATTTAATCGTTTTAGAAATTGTTCATTTGAAGTCATCATTTCGTAAATTCTATGGTCGATACAATGACCTCGTCAGCAAATACAATTTATCATTGAATGAAATGCTGACTGACGTTTTTCATACCAATTGTTAGTCCATTATTTATACACTGAATTGACCACGGATTTTTTTCCGTTATATCCTGATTATGACAACGAGCACACGGCGGGTGTGACCGGTCAGCAGGGGATGCTCACTCCTCCATGGCACCTGATCCCACCTCTGATGTTTCGGGGGTCCGTGTTTGCTCTGCTCTTATTTTGTATATTTGTTTAATCGACGTTGAGATTGAATACTGTTCTTTATTTCCATATCCTTCTTCATACATTGTACGCAGAGCGTGCTCTAGAGTATCAGATCAACTGAGATACATAAACTCCGTATATTATGAAAGTATAAGTTGACGATTGTAAAGTAAAAGTCATCGCGTTTAACATAGAGCTTGGTTGTTAGATAACAATTCAACATTCAATTTCAATTCAACATCCATTTTATGTTAACGCCCCCAAAATCTACCTGATTAAAGATCAATAATATACCGCCTGTCAATCATTAGAAAAATAATTATAATTCCGATTTGATTGACAGGGCAGCTACATATATGTACCTGTGGTACCTGCATAGATTTAAATTTGTGTCTAGTTGAATAAACTGAAGTCTAGCTATCACTCATTTTACTTATATACACTTAACGTCGAGCACATGATCAAACATGTTGAAAATGTTGAACATGTTGAAGTTAAAACAAAAAAATTATTCAGTAATAAAACTTAAATTAGGTTCTTTCATTTAAAATTTGTTCAGTGTACCGACAAATTTTCCATACATGTATTTTACTTTGAAAAATGATTTATATGGGGCAACATTGAATCAAAATCGTTGTGATGATGATAATCAAACGCAGAAATTTTATGCACATATGCCTTCATCACGCAAGCTAAAAGCTTAATCACACCATGAAACAAAAAAGACGGTTATTCCTTAATTGACAGTTAAAACATATAGTGATATATACTTGTAAATTTAATCGTATATTAACTCTTTACTGAGAAAAATAACAAATGTATTAAGTACCGAATACTACAATTTTAGTGCTATTGCATGGAGATTCCAATCAAAGAACGGCTAAGGTATGCAAAGGACAGTGATTGGGGAGGAAGAAACGGACGGATAAGAAAAGAAGGGGGAGGAGACTCGGGAGAGATAAAATGAAACTTAGGAGAGGGATCAGATTGAAAGTGACAGTGCCTAACTTTTTCTGTTATACATTGTGAGATACCTGTAATTCTACCCTTTTCTGTGTCTGTTTGTCGGTAATAAACACGATGCAGATGCCAGAAACATTTTTGTGTAAGTTTGGCGGGATTCATTTTAGCATTATTTTAAGAACAAGACAGTTTTGTTTATATTTTAGACGTGCTTATTGATACCTGCAATTTACTGAATTTGTGCATAAATTTTGCATCAGAGAGGGAGTACACAGTCATGTAACCCTACCTGTATCGCTTCAAGTGAGCATCAACAGTTTGTTCTTTATTAATGTTTTCTTTATACACTGAGCAATAAAATACTTATATGCTATAATTTAATTTTATATTCTAATTTCTTTTCCCTCTTTTTTTTTAATTAATGCAGAGCTACTTACAATGCAATACTTGTTGATGGTAATTCTATGAGATATTGTGAATATGTATCAAACTTTTAATTTATCTTATATACCGTAAATCTCGAAATTTTTACGTCGATTTTATTTTGCGAATTCGGGTCAAAATGGCGTTGATTAATTTTACGCTTCAAAATTTTGCAAATTACCACTGCTTTGTTTACATTATCTTATTGGTAATTTATTTTTGGGAAAAATAATTTTGCGAATGCAATGAACTCGCAAATTTGCTAAAAATTTATTTACAGCAAAAAAATCCAGATTTGCGGTAGTACCCTAACAAAAAAATACTATAGTAAACTATAGGTAACTATAGTTTACTATAGTTAACTATAGTAAATCATAGTTCCAAAGTTTTTGTCAAAGTTAATCAAAGTTCCAAAGTTTTTGTCATAGTAAATCAAAGTTTCAAAGTTTTCGCCATAGTAAATCAAAGTTCCAAAGTTTTCGCCAAAGTTAATCAAAGTTCCAAAGTTTTCGTTAAAGTTAATCATAGTTCCAAAGTTTTTGTCAAAGTTAATCAAAGTTTCAAAGTTTTCGCCATAGTAAATCAAAA